AGGCCAGCACTTTGAATTGTGCTCGGAAGCTAATAGGCATCCAGTGGAGCTGGCATAACAAGGGGATTGTACCCTTCCTGTACCCCGCGCCAGTGCCAAGCGTTAGGCCATGAGCCTGACCACGTGGAATCTGGAGGTCCTCTCATACAAAGGAAGACCACGTGACCCCCTCCAGAAGGATCCCAGCCCAAGGCAACAACAAAATTAGGAAGTAGCAACGAAAATAATGTTATGGTTGGGGGTCACCACCACATGAGGAACTGTATTAACAGGTCGCGGAATTAGGAAGTTCACTCTTCCTGAACTTTGGATCCATTGCTTTGTATCCTAGATGGCAGAGAAGCAAAAAACATCCTCGCCTTCTCCTCAATGTGACATCCTTTCAAACATTTAGATATGGCTATCATATCCCTTCTCAGCCTTCCTTTCTCCAAGTTAAACATACTCAGCTCCCTAGAACGTTCCTCACAGGGCTTGGCTTCCAAACTTTGGATCATTTTGGTTGCCCTTTTCTGGACAACTTCCAGATTGCCAATATCCTTCTTAAGTTGTGTTGCCAAGATGTGGACACAGGGTTATTTCAGGTGAGGTCTAAAAATTATAAGAGTGGGAATATCTCTCAGGTTCTCACCATATCCTTGTGCTTTGTCATTAGAAGCATATCTGAAACAAGCCCTGGCGGAAGAGGATGGCTCATCTTGCAGAAATATAACAACACAGGGCAGGACAAAACAACAGAAAAAAGCGTGAGACTCACTCAGAGAAGCTATGATAGACAAATTTTCCTCCATCACTTCTCTATGGAGGGCCCTTTGGTCTGGATCCAGCAAGGCCCACTCATCCTCACTGAAAGGCACTGCCACGTCTTCAAAGGTCACCTGAGAGACAAAACAGTATTTATAAGCGAGCTGTGGTGCAGCTATAGTAGTTAGTAGCCAGCTGCATTAAATTACTACTAAGAGGTCATGAGTTTGAAGTTCAGAGTGAGCTCCCGACCATTAATAGTCTAGCTTGCTGTTGACCTATGGAGCCTGAAAGACAGTTGCATCTGTCAAGTAGGAAATGTAGGTACCACTTTATGCGGGGAAGCTAAGTAATTTACGACACTGTCAAACTTTCCATCAGCATGCGTAAGAATGAGGAAGTACTCCATCAAAGGACTCGGTGTCACAAGTGGACGGTGAAGTGGCAGCTCCCTCTGTGGCCGGAATCAAGCATTGCCCTCCTGAACCCGGAAAGCTAGAATGTTAAATTGCCTCTGTGTCTCTCTATATATGTTGTATGTCTAAATGGCATTGAATGTTTGTCACGTATATGTGCATTGTAATCCGCCCTGAGTCCCCTGCAGGGTGAGAAGGGCGGAACAGAATATAAGTACTGTAAATAATAAATAAATAAATATAAGTATAACATGCTTTCCCCAAGAAGAACAGAAATATGGACAGATTGGGACTGCTCAATGTGCTTTAACTTTTTCCTGGGAATCTTTACATACTGGAGCAAAAGAAAGAGAAGGATTATGTCTGGATGGAAGAGAAGAGCAAGGGATCGGGGCGCTCCACTTGCCCCCTTCTTGGCCCTCCAGAGATTTTGCCTCTTACCTGATCCAAGCTCCTGGAAGCTGTTCTGATGGGATCAACATGAAATGAGCTGTTATGCATCCGTGTTCTCCTTCTTCCTTCCTCTGTAAGAGAGACCAAAGGCATTATATTCTTCATGTCTTTCTACACACACCACCATCGAAGCAAAAGCCACACACTGAAACGTCTTTGTAGACTCAGTAACCATGAGGTTGGCCAAGACAAACAAGTTGCTTACCTGTAATCGTGGTTCTTTGAGTGGTCCTTTGTGAATTTATACAATACAATGGCCCTATTTTGGAACTGGAGCCCGCGGTGGCACAATGGGTTAAAGCCTTGTGTTGGCAGGAATGAAGACTGACAGGTCACAGGTTCGAATCCAGGGAGAGCGTGGCTGAGCTCCTTCCGTCAGCTCCGGCTTCCCATGCGGGGACATGAGAGAAGCCTCCCACAATGATGGTAAAACATCAAAACATCCAGGCGTCCCCAGGGCAACGTCCTTGCAGACAGCCAATTCTCTCACACCAGAAGCAACTTGGAGTTTCTCAAGTCGCTCCTGACACGAAGAAAATTTTTTGGAACTTTCTGGATCTGTTCCGAACTCAAGGAAAATGTCTGAATTCGACACCAGCATGAAAGCAGTGGCATTCCCAATCAGGCCTCCCCAAGGGGAACCATTCCACAACAAGCTGCAACCCAGAAGGGCCTCAAAGCACAACCAGCTGTCTCCGAAGGGACTCAAAGCAGAGCGGATTACAGTACACAGGCAAATACAAAGGCTTCTCCTTTCCTTTCTGGCTCTGGAGCCAGTGCTCATCTCCAGCTCTGGGGAAGTACTCTTTCTCTATTTCCAAGCCGAGGAGCCTGTGTCCGTAGACGTCTCCTCGTTGTGTGGCTAGCAAGACTGCTTGGAGTATCTTTTTGCAGAACTTATTGATCTACTCACATTTGCATGTTTTCAAACTGCTAGGTTGGCAGGAGCTAGGGCTAACAGCAGGAGCTCACCCTGTACTGCGGATTTCAAGTGCCAACCTTCAGACTAGTTGTTCAGCAGCCCAAGGATTTTTTAACCAGTGGATTCCTGATCTATTTAAAATGCAGATGTGTGCTTTTCACCTTAAGAATGGACAACTATCTTGAGGTCTGAGGGTTACCTGGGAAGGACGCCCACTTGAGGATTGCAGCACACTCCAATGTCTGGGAGTTACCTTGGACTGTGCTCTGATTTATGAGAAACACTGCTTGAATATCAAACAAAAAGTAGGGGATATTCAACCCATTTTTCCAAGCAAAAAGTGGGTGCTAGAAACAATATCATACGAAAGCTGACTGGCACAACCTGGGGATCACAACCAGACACAGTGAAGACATCTGCCCTTGCATTGAAAACCTATAGCAAACAAAAATTGTGTTACATCATGTAATGAAACAGCCATTCTGTGTGTACTTTCATACTTACCCAGTGAGGCAGGATCTGTGTTCTTTTCCTGCCTGGTCCACAAACATTGCGTTCTTTGTCCAGAGTGTGATGGACCCTTCTCCGCCTGAAGATACAAAGACCATACAAGGTTGGCAAGAAAATGGATTTATTTATTATTTATTTATTAACAGTATTTATATTCCACCCTTCTCACCCCACAGGGGACTCAGGGTGGATTACAATGCACATATACACGGCAAACATTCAATGCCAATTAAATATACAACATATATAGACAGATACAGAGGCAATTTAACATTCCAACTTTTCTGGCTTCATGAGGGTATGCTCAGTTCTGGCCACAGAGGGAGCTGCTGCTTCACTGTCCACTTGTGACACTGAGTCCTTGATGGAGTACTTCCTCATTCTTATGCATGCTGCTGGAAGGTTTTATGGCGTCGTAAATTAGTTAAATTAGTCTCCCCGCATAAAGCAGTACCTAAATTTCCTACTTGATAGATGCAACTGTCTTTTGAGCAGCATAGGTTGATAGCATGCTAGACTAATGGCCGGAAGCTTACTCCAACCTGGGCTGGCTTCGAACTCATGACCTCTCGGTCAGTACTGATTTAATGCAGCTAGCTTCCCAGCTAGCTGTGCCACAGCCCGATCCTTATTGGATGACAACTCCCATCAGAGCAAAGCCATGGTGTAACATGCAGTTCAAAATATCCAAGAGTTGAACATACTTTGAGGTAAATTCTACTTTGGTTAATATTATGGTTTTGGCACAGTTTACCTGTCCGAACGTATTCTCCCCTATGAACCATCAAAGCTGTTAAGATCTTCTGGAGAGGCCCGGCTCTCGGTCCTGCCACCTTTGCAATCACGTCTGGTGGGGACGAGAGACAGGGCCTTCTCTGTGGTGGCCCCCAGCTATGGAACTCTCTCCCAAATGAAGTTAGATCTGCCCCCCTCCCTCCTGACCATTAGGAAACAACTGGTGGGGACGAGAGACAGGGCCTTCTCTGTGGTGGCCCCCCAGCTATGGAACTCTCTCCCAAATGAAGTTAGATCTGCACCCTCCCTCCTGACCATTAGGAAACAACTGGTGGGGACGAGAGACAGGGCCTTCTCTGTGGTGGCCCCCCAGCTATGGAACTCTCTCCCAAATGAAGTTAGATCTGCACCCTCCCTCCTGACCATTAGGAAACAACTGGTGGGGACGAGAGACAGGGCCTTCTCTGTGGTGGCCCCCCAGCTATGAAACTCTCTCCCAAATGAAGTTAAATCTGCACCCTCCCTCCTGACCATTAGGAAACAACTGGTGGGGACGAGAGACAGGGCCTTCTCTGTGGTGGCCCCCCAGCTATGGAACTCTCTCCCAAATGAAGTTAGATCTGCACCCTCCCTCCTGACCATTAGGAAACAACTGGTGGGGACGAGAGACAGGGCCTTCTCTGTGGTGGCCCCCCAGCTATGGAACTCTCTCCCAAATGAAGTTAGATCTGCACCCTCCCTCCTGACCATTAGGAAACAACTGGTGGGGACGAGAGACAGGGCCTTCTCTGTGGTGGCCCAACAGCTATGGAACTCTCTCCCAAATGAAGTTAGATCTGCACCCTCCCTCCTGACCATTAGGAAACAACTGGTGGGGACGAGAGACAGGGCCTTCTCTGTGGTGGCCCCCCAGCTATGAAACTCTCTCCCAAATGAAGTTAAATCTGCACCCTCCCTCCTGACCATTAGGAAACAACTGGTGGGGACGAGAGACAGGGCCTTCTCTGTGGTGGCCCCCCAGCTATGGAACTCTCTCCCAAATGAAGTTAGATCTGCACCCTCCCTCCTGACCGTTAGGAACAACTGAAATCCTGGCCGTGGAACGAGGCATTTCCAGAGTGATGGCTGAGACCGGTAAACGACTAAAGTTATTGACCACAATGGATGTTGTTTTTATCTTGGCAAATTGGCTTTATATGTATTTTATCTTATACGTATTTTTAACCTATTGTGTATGCATGATGTTTTAAATAATTACTATTGTTAGCATTGTATCCTTGCTGTTAGCCGTTCTGAGTCCCTCCACTGAGGTTAGAGAAGAATGGGATACAAGAGTTTTAAATAAATAAATGAATAAATATTAACAAAGAATGCAGTTTTGGATCAGCACCATGGACAGAAGAAATCTTCTTGTGTGTTTATGTGTGTGTGTGCATGTATCATCTGCATTTCTAAGGTTGTTAATTTTAACACCAGTTTTTCGGGCTGCATAGGTCGACAGCAAGCTAGACTATTAATGGTCGGGAACTCACTCTGACTTGGGCTGGCTTCGAACTCATGACTCTCCATCAGTAGTGATTTAATGCAGCTGGCTACTAACTAACCATATGAAGACCAGGCTGTGGCGCAGGGCCCATATGAAAGCCACTCACTTCCTGCAAGTGCTGCTTCTCCTCTTGGGCCCGACTCAGGAGGAAGCCTTCAGCCAAGGCCACGGCCTGGGAGCTGGTCTCTGCCCCACATTCCCTCACCCAGCGCTCCATCTCCGCAGGAAGGACGGCCAGGAACTGCTCCAGGATCACCAGGTCCAGCATCTCCGCCTTGGAGTGTCGCTGGGGCTTCAGCCACAGGCGGCAGAGAGAGTGGAGGCGGCTGCAAACCTCTCGGGGACTCCCTGCCTCCTCATAGCGGAGCTGCCTGAAATGTTGACACCGAGCCTCCAAACTTCTCATATCCTTCCCCAATCTTTTCTGCATCTTTCCTCTTTCCCAAAACCCTCCTTGAACAGCAGGAGGACCTTTCCTTGCTTCTTGCTTTTCCATCTCCAAAAACAACAACAAGTTTGGCGATGAAGTTCTTGTCTCTTCTCTCACATCCTCCCTTTGGCAAAAGACTGGCAAAATTACGGGGGAATGCCAAGCCCTGCAAAGAAACCGAGACGTCCCGTGAAGAACCGACCATGGACATCCCTATCACGTAAGGCATTGCTTCACATCAGATTCAACCTGGAAACTGGGAGAAGCTAGAAGTTGGGGAGAGTTGGGGAGGGAACTTCTCTTTGTGTCTGTGACGTCGAGCATGCCCCCCCCAACAAGGGATGGTGACTTATAGTTCTGCAAAGGACAAAGGTACCAGACTGCACAATAGGGGTTAAGTCTTGGTCAATTTGCCAAGGCCTTAACAACAATGAGGACCCCATGAAACTTCGGGAATAGCTAGACCTTGGGGTCTCTGCCTCTCTCGGGAGCTGTAGTTCTCCAAGGACGGGGAGCAAAGCTAGTTTCCAGAGACACCAGGTCTGATCTGTGCCACAACAACAGCAACAACAACAACAACTGTGAGAGCTGTTCAGCAATGGAGCAATATCTTCAAACTACAAGAAAGGAGAATCCATCTGAACATTAGGAAGAACTTCCTGACTCTGAGAGCTGTTCAGCAGTGGAACTCTCTGCCCCGGAGTGTGGTGGAGGGGGAAACTTTTAAACAGAGGCTGGATGGCCATCTGTCAGGGGTGCTTTGAATGCAATTTTCCTGCTTCTTGGCATAAGGGGGTTGGACTGGATGGCCCATGAGGTCTCTTCCAACTCTATGATTCTATGATTCTATAACAACAAAACAACAACAACAACCCTTTATTCATATTCCGCTCTATCTCCCCGAGGTAGTGAGTATCAGAGGTAGTGAGGTCTGTTGGGACTAGGAAAAAAGGTTTATATATCTGTGGAATGACCAGAGTGGGACAAAGGACTCTTGTCTGCTGGAGCTAGGTGTGAATTTTTCAACTGACCACCTTGATTAGCATATAATGGCTTGACAGTGCCTAGAGCAAACCTCTGAGGATGCTTGCCATAGATGCAGGCGAAACGTCAGGAGAGAATGCCTCTAGACCATGGCCATATAGCCCGAAAAAACCTACAACAACCCGAGAGAAAGATGGATTCGTTCGTCTTCTTTATATAGCCTCCTGCTGATAGGTCATCAATAAGATACAACGGCTGATGCAACCCCTTTGCAATAACCCTCGCATGGGTATGACTCAGCCATTACCACATTCCCTTGGTTATTGCATCATGACATTCAGATGTGATGAGTGTGTTATGGTGCAGTGATAACTGAGTGTCGGTTTTGGGTTGATCTGCACCGTGTGCGGGTTTCAACACGGATTAAACTGTCATGGGTGCATGCTGTGGAATCAAAGGAGTTACAGCTTGGCAAGGTCTTGAAGAAGTGCCAAACAATTACTCCTAGGATTCTATAGCATTGAGTTGTCGCAGTCCAATTGGTGTCAAACCGCATTAATTCTACACTGTAGATGCACCTTAGGTTCCTCCTAAAGGGAGCACAGCCAAGTGGAGTATTCCTCTTTGTTTTCTACTTCCGTGGAGACTAGGACGCGGAACATAGGATCATAGAATCCAAGAGTTGGAAGAGACCTCATGGGCCATCCAGTCCAACCCATTCTGCCAAGAAGCAGGAATACTGCATTCAAATCACCCCTGACAGATGGCCATCCAGCCTCTGTTTAAAAGCTTTCAAAGAAGGAACCTCCACCACACTCCGGGGCAGAGAGTTCCACTGCTGAACGGCTCTCACAGTCAGGAAGTTCTTCCTCATGTTCAGATGGAATCTCCTCTCTTGTAGTTTGAAGCCATTGTTCCGCGTCCTAGTCTCCAGGGAAGCAGAAAAAAAGCTTGCTCCCTCCTCCCTGTGGCTTCCTCTCACATATTTATACATGGCTATCATATCTCCTCTCAGCCTTCTCTTCTTCAGGCTAAACATGCCAGCTCCTTAAGCCGCTCCTCATAGGGCTTGTTCTCCAGACCCTTAATCATTTTAGTCGCCCTCCTCTGGACACATTCCAGCTTGTCAATATTCTCTCTTCAATTGTGGTGCCCAGAATTGGACACAATATTCCAGATGTGGTCTAACAAGGGCAGAATAGAGGGGTAGCATGACTTCACTAGATCTAGACACTATGCTCCTATTGATGCAGGCCAAAATCCCATTGGCTTTTTTTGCCGCCACATCACATTGTTGGCTCATGTTTAACTTGTTGTCCACGAGGACTCCAAGATCTTTTTCACACGTACTGCTCTCAAGCCAGGCATTGTCCCCCATTCTGTATCTTTGCATTTCGTTTTTCCTGCCAAAGTGGAGTATCTTGCATTTGTCCCTGTTGAACTTCATTTTGTTAATTTTGGCCCATCTCTCTAGTCTGTCAAGATCGTTTTGAATCCTGCTCCTGTCCTCTGGAACAATGGCTTCAAACTTCAAGAGAGGAGATTCCATCTGAACATGAGGAAGAACTTCCTGACTGTGAGAGCCGTTCAGCAGTGGAACTCTCTGCCCAAAGTGTGGTGGAGGCTCCTTCTTTGGAAGCTTTTAAACAGAGGCTGGATGGCCATCTGTCAGGGGTGCTTTGAATGCAATTTTCCTGCTTCTTGGCAGGGGGTTGGACTGGATGGCCCATGAGATCTCTTCCAACTCTTTGATTCTATCTGGGATTCCAAAATGCTCTGAAAGTGTCCAGGTGGGTGGCCAAGATAGGGACACCTGTACACGTACATGCTTTTGGATTCATGTTTGCCGGGAACATCTGTCTGCAAAAGGGATCCTTCCAGCAGTAGATGAAAACCTTTTTATCCAAGCAGGCTTTAGAGGTTTTATCCCACCCAGGAAAGGAGAAAAACAAAGCCAAGGGGGTGCTGACAGGGTTAGGGGACTCACCTTCTTCTTTGCCCAGGAGAACCTCTTTAGGAGGAGCTCACCTATGGTTGGGAAGGCTCACAGACATAAACATCTCATTTCCGCCTTCACTAGGAAGACACCGCCTCGTTGGGCTTAACTCTTCCAAAGCCAGGCACATGGAGTTTTTGCACTCTGGCTGGGCATGAAGCCCCCCAGGCCAAAGTGGGAACTGAAAAAGAAAAACAAAACATGAACCAGTTCCTATGCACATAGCACATCTCTCGTTGATAGTGCAAAAGAGAAACAAAGAAAGAAAGAATCATAGAATCAAAGAGTTGGAAGAGACCTCATGGGCCATCCAGTCCAACCCCATGCCAAGAAGCAGGAATGCTGCATTCAAATCACCCCTGACAGATGGCCATCCAGCCTCTGTTTAAAAGCTCAAAGAAGGAGCCTCCACCACACTCCTGGGCAGAGAGTTCCACTGCTGAACGGCTCTCACAGTCAGGAAGTTCTTCCTCATGTTCAGATGAGGACACAATATTCCAGGTGTGGTCTAACCAAAGCGGAATAGAGGGGTAGCATGACTTCCCTGGACCTAGACACTAGGCTCCTATTGATGAAAGAAAGAAAACAATATTTTAAATGAGAACAGTTTTAACCAACATAAACTTCACAGTATTTCAGTGGAAGACCCCAGGGGCCATCCAGTCCAACCTTTCTGCCTTCATGCAGGAAAAGCACAATTTAAGCTTCCCCAACAGATGGCCATTAATATTGCCAATTGCCAATATCCACTGGACAATGGAGAAAAGCAGGGAGCTTCAGAAAAAACATCTCTTTCTGTTGTATTGACTATTCTAAAGCCTTTGACTGTGTGGATCATAATAAATTGTGGTTTTTATTTGTCGTGTCAGGGCAACCAGTCCATTATCTTACATTTCTAACAGAACAAAACAAACAAACAGACAAAATACAAAACTTGTGAGTTTGGTAGTTGGTTGAATGTCCTTTGACCAGTATCTGGCCACTTGGAGTGCCTCTGGTGTTGCTGCAAGAAGGTCCTCCATTGTGCATGTGGCGGGGCTCACGTTGCATTGCAGCAGGTGGTCAGTGGTTTGTTCTTCTCCGCACTCGCATGCCGTGGATTCCACTTTGTGGCCCATTTCTTGAGGTTGGCTCTGCATCTCGTGGTGCCAGAGCGCAGTCTGTTCAGCGCCTTCCAAGTCGCCCAGTCTTCTGTGTGCCCAGGGGGGAGTCTCTCATCTGGTATCACCCACGGATTGAGGTGCTGGGTTTGAGCCTGCCACTTTTGGACTCTCGCTTGCTGAGGTGTTCCAGCGAGTGTCTCTGTAGATCTAAGAAAACTATGTCTTGATTTAAGTCGTTGACGTGCTGGATGATACCCAAACAGGGGATGAGCTGGAGATGTCTCTGCCTTGGTCCTTTCACTATTGGCTGCTACTTCCCGGCGGATGTCAGGTGGTGCAATACCGGCTAAGCAGTGTAATTTCTCCAGTGGTGTAGGGCGCAGGCACCCCGTGATAATGCGGCATGTCTCATTAAGAGCCACATCTACTGTTTTAGTGTGGTGAGATGTGTTCCACACTGGGCATATCAAAACACCTTATCTCTCTCCTAAGGAATCTGTATAAGGACCAAGTAGCAACAGTCAGAAATGCCCATGGAACAACAGACTGGTCCAAGATTGAAAAAGGCATACGGCAGGGTTGTATCCTCTCCCCCAACCTATTCAACTTGTATGCAGAATACATTGTGCAATGTGCAGGGCTTGATGAATGCAAGGCTGGGGTGAAAAATTGCTGGAAGAAACATGAACAACCTCAGATATGCAGATGATACCACTCTGATGGCCGAAAGCGAGGAGGAGCTGAGGAGCCTTCTAATCAAGGTGAAAGAAGAAAGCGCAAAAGCCGGGTTGCAGGTAAACATAAAAAAAACCCCAAGATTATGGCAACTGGGATATAAGAGAGAGAAAACATGGAGGCAGTGACAAGATTTGTATTTCTAGTTACAAAGATTACTGCAGATGCAGAGTGCAGCCAGGAAATCAGGAGACGCTTCCTTCTTGGGAGGAGAGCAATGTCCAATCTTGATAAAATAGTGAAGAGTAGAGACATCACACTGGCAACGAAGATCCACATAGTCGAAGCAATGGTATTCCCCATAGTCACCTACGGATGTGAGAGCTGGCCCATAAAGAAGGCTGAGCGAAGGAAGAGAGAGGCTTTTGAGCTGTGGTGTTGGAGGAAAGTTCTGAGAGTGCCTTGGACTGCGAGAAGATCCAACCAGTCCATCCTCCAGGAAATAAAGCCCGGCTGCTCACTGGAGGGAAGGAGACTAGAGGCCAAGGTGAAGTCCTTTGGCCACATCAGGAGAAAAAAGGAAAGCTTAGAGAAGACAATGATGCTGGGGAAAATGGAAGGAAAAAAGAAGAGGAGCCGACCAAGGGCAAGATGGATGGATGGGATCCTTGAAGTGACTGGATTGACCTTGAAGGAGCTGGGGGTGGTGACGGCCAACAGGGAGCTCTGGCGTGGACTGGTCCACGAAGTCATGAAGAGTTGGAAACAACTGAACGAATGAACAACAAACAGATGGCCACCCGGGCTTTGTAGTAGTGGTAGTAGTAGTAGTAATAGCAACCCCAGGGGCCACCCAGTGCAACCCCCCTTCTGCCATGTAGGGAAAGTAAAATCAAAGCACCCCCAATAGATGGCCATCCAGCCTTTGTGATAATAATAATGATAATAATAATAATAATAATAATAATAATAATAATAATAGCTGAAACCCGGGCTATCTAGTCCAACCCCTTTCGTCCATGGAGGAAATGCACAATCAAAGCACCCCCAATAGATGGCCACTCAGCCTTTGTGATAATAATAATAATAATAATAATAATCATAATAATAATAATCATCATCATCATCATCATCATAACTGAAACCCGAGACTATCCAGTCCAACCCCCTTCGTCCATGCAGGAAAAGCACAATCAAAGCATTCCCAATAGATGGCTGCCCAGCCTTTGTGATGATGATGATGATGATGATGATAATAATAATAATAGCTGAAACCTGAGACTATCCGGTCCAATAATAATAATAATAATAATAATAATAATAATAATAATAATAGCTGAAACCCGAAATTATCCAGTCCAACCCCCTTCGTCCATGCAGGAAAAGCACAATCAAATCACCCCCAATAGATGGCCACCCAGCCTTTGTGATGATGATGATGATGATGATGATAATAACAATAGCTGAAACCCGAGACAATCGGGTCCAATAATAATAAAAAAGGTCTGACCATGGCTTGAATAAGTTGATTAACTCTGTGAAGTTACTGGGGAAACCGGTAGCCCTGGCATGGGCTAACTTGGGCCCTCCAGGTATTTAGGACTTCAGCTCCCACCATTCCTAACAGCCTTAGGCCTTTAAGCGGCTAAGGGGGGGGGGGGAGATGGGGCCTGAGGCTGTTAGGAATTGTGGGAATTGAAGTCCAAAACACCTGGAGGACCCAAGTTTGTCCAGGTCTGTTCTCAGAACATCTGTTATAGAACCCCAATATGCTGATGATAACATAGTCTATGCCCATTCAGAAGAATGTTGCACCGCTTGATTTTTTGTATGCGACATCACCAATTTATGTTTTAACTGTGCTGAGTAAAAAGTAAAGATTTTTCTGTTCATTTTTTACTCTGGTCTGAGAATCTTCTGCATTTTGGACTTTGGGCACTGGGATGCTGGGTAAAACATGTTGCTGCGTAGCAAATTCGTGCAGTGGTTTTTGAGTTGTTAATCCCACAAACGAACATTACATACACACACACACACACACACACACACACTACCTGTACTCGTCACAGTTATGTGGCGGGTACAAACCTTCCCTCTTTCTCTCCTTCTTTCCCTCCTTCCTTCACTCTCTCTTTCCTTCCCTCCTTCCCGTCTTTCCTTCTCTTCTTCCTTCCTTATCTTTTTCCTTCCTTCCCCCTTTTTCTTTCTCTTCCTGTCTCTTTTCTTCCTTCTCTTTCCTTCCCTCCCTCTTTCTCTACAACTTCCCCCTTCCTTTGCTCCCTCTTTCCTTCCTTCTTTCCCTTTTTTCTTTCCTTCTCTCCTTCCTTCCTTCTCTAACTTTCCTTCCTTCCCCCTTTCTTTCCCTCCCTCTTTCTCTCCTTTCTTCCTTCTCTACCTCTTTCCTTTCTTCTCTCTTTGCTTCCATGCTTCTTTCTCCCTTTCTTTCTCCCTTCCTTCCTTCCTTCCTTCCTTCCTTCCTTCCTTCCTTCCTTCCTTCCTTCCTTCCTTCCTTTCCCTTCCCTCCCTCTTTCTTACCTTTTTTCTGTATTGTCATTTAACTTTGGGGGGCTTTTAAAGTCTCTTCTGCTGTGTTTTTCAGTGTTTTTATGAGTGAAGGGCATACATTGGGTTGTTAAGTGTATTGTGTCCAAATTTGGTGTCAATCCCCCCAGTGGTTTTAGAGTTCTGTTAATCCCACAAACGAACATTACATAACATACATACATACATACACATATACACACATATATATATATATATAGTTCCCCCACTTTTATGTAAAAGAAACTTCTTATTCATTTTTCAATAAAAAWTTATTTTTTAAAAAAACGGTTGAAAGGTTTCCTCCGTTAYGTGAGTCATTTGATGAAGAACGARACTTCTCTTCCAACTGAAGCTCTTTCCGCACTCAAAGCATTCAAAGGGTTTCTCTGCTGTGTGTGGCTTGATGATAAGTGAGGCTTTTCTTCCAGCTGAACCTCTTTCCACACTCCAGGCATTGGAACGGTTTCTCCCCGGTGTGCGTCACTTGGTGAGAAGTGAGGTCTGACTTCTGAGTAAAGTTCCTCCCGCACTCCGAGCATTGAAATGGCTTCTCTCCGGTGTGTGTTGTTTGGTGACAAGTGAGGTTTATCTTCTGACGGAAGCTCTTTCCACACTCGAGGCATTTAAAGGGTTTCTCTCCCGTGTGCGTTGCCTCATGACGAGCGAGGTTTCTCTTCTGGTTGAATCGCCTCCCGCACTCCAAGCATTCGAAGGGTTTCTCACCCGTGTGGGTCACTTGATGGTAAAGGAGGCTTCTCTTCCAACTGAACGTTTTCCCACATTCCAGGCATTGAAAAGGATTTTCCCCTGTGTGAGTAGAGAGGTGGAAAGTAAGGTGTGCCTTCTGATTGAAGCTGCGGTCGCACGCCGAGCATTTGAAAGGTTTCTCGCTGGCGTGAGTTCTTTGATGAGAAAGGAGGCCCGTCTTCAGAGCGAAGCTTTTCCCGCACTCCAAGCATTGAAAGGGTTTCTCTTCCGTGTGTGTTGCTTGATGTCGAAGGAGGTCTGTCTTCCAACTGAAACCTTTCCCACATTCCAGGCACTGAAAGGGTTTCTCCCAGGAGTGCGTTTTTTGGTGAGAGCTGAGATTGGTTCTCCGGCTGAAAGTTTTGCCGCACTCCAAGCACTGAAATGGCTTCTCCCCTGTGTGGATCACCTGGTGATTGGCCAGATCTGTCTTCTGATTGAATGCCTTCCCACACGCCATGCATTTAAATGGCTTCTCCCCTGTGTGGGTTCTCTGGTGGTGGATGAAGCTGCTCTTCCAACTGAAATGCTTCCCGCACTCCAAGCATTCAAAGGGCTTCTCTCCTGTGTGGATTCTCCGATGTAAGACGAACTGGGAATGCCACATGAAGCTCTTTCCACACCCTGAAAAGTCACACTTTTTCTGGCTCTGTTCGGCAAGAAGATTACGACTTTCTTCACAACTGAGGTTCTTTAGGCATTTATTACTTTCATTCCCTCCTTCTGTTGTTTCTTGTGAGATTCTACCGTTATCCCCAGCCTGAGAAGCAGAGATCTTGTTCCTCGTGTCCTCCTGATGATCTGTATTGGTTTCTTTCTTTTGTTGACGTTCATCTCTTTGTAGCAAAAGCATCCTTCGTTCTCCTTCGTTCTCCTTCTCTTGCCAAATGCCTTGAAAGAAGGAAAACAAATCAGCAAAGCGCCAAGAAACGCCAATGGAGACAAAAAGAAAATTGACAGGAATTGTTGGAAATAGCAACCTTCTTCAAGCCTCCACTAGTAATGTGTTTTGGATATGATTCTGTTTGTTTACTGCAGTGTTTCTCAACCTGGGGGTTGGGACCCCCGAGGGGGTCGTGAGGGGGTGTCAAAGGGGTCACCAAAGACCATCAGAAAACATAGTATTTCCTGGTGATCATTGGGATTCTGTGTGGGAAGTTTGACCCAATTCTATTGTTGGTCGAGTTCAGTATGCTCTTTGATTGTAGGTGAACTATAAATCCCAACAACTACAGCTCCCAAATGTCAAGGTCTATTTTCCCCAGACTCTACCAGTGTTCACATTTGGGCATACTGAGTATTCATGCCAAGTTTGGTCCAGATCCATCATTGCATGAATCCACATCCGCTCCTCTGGATATAGGTGAACTACAACTCCCAAACTCAAGGTCAATGCCCACAAAATCCTTCCAGTGTTTTCTGTTGGTCATGGGAGTTCTTTGTGCCAAGTTCGGTTTAAATCCAACGCTGGTGGAGTTCAGAATGCTTTTTAATTATAGGTGAACTATAAATCCCAGCAACTACAACTCCCAAATTGCAAAATCAATCCTCCCCCCTTCCCCCAACCCCACTAGTATTCACATTTGGGCATATTGGGTATTTGTGCTCAATTTAGTCCAGTGAATGAAAATATATCTTGCATATCAGATATTTACATTACAATTTATAACAGTACTAAAATGACAGGTATCAAGTAGCAAATTTGTGTATTGTATATTGTATTTTGTGAATTGTTGGGCATCGAATTGTGCCTTTTGTAAGCCGCCCTGAGTCCCCCCTAGGGGGTTGAGAAGGGCAGGGTAGAAGCACCCCAAATAAATAAATAATAAATAAATAAACGAAAACAATATTATGGTTGGGGGTCACCACAACATATGGAATGGCATTAAGGGGTCACGGCATTAGCAAAGTTGAGAACCACTGGTTTACTGTATTGTATATGTTTTGGTATGCAGCTTTCCCTTTACTCGGTTTCTTGAGGTTGTTGGAGGGGCTGCAGAACACAGGATCAGATCTGGGAGTGCTCAGAGCTCAGACTCCATTTTAGAATGAGCCTTCCTCTGCAAATTACCTGCTTCTCTCTTTTATCTCGTCCAAGTTTTTAATTAGTTTAATTAGCTTGTCTTTAAAGCATGATATGTAGCCTACCAGTTGTTATTGTGCTTGTGTTTACTGTAATTTTTACATTGTTATGTATTCATATGTTTTATGTAACTATGATGTTATTGTTTATTGTTCGCGTTTTCAGTTTGTGTTTTGGTTTTTCTTTAGTGTAATTGTTATTTGGGCTTGGCCTGATGTAAGCCGCTCCGAGTCCCCATTGGGGAGATGGTGGTGGGGTATAAATAAAGATTATTATTATTATTATTAGAACACAGAAATGTTTTAGCCATGAGATGCTTCTGACTTAGACTCCATGAGAGCATAGACTCCATCAGATGCCATGTAGACTATGGACTGTTAAGAGCAAACTCATGTTGCTGTTGATAATAATAATAATATTTATTTATACCTCGCCACCATCTCCCCAAAGGGGACTCAAGGCGGCTTATATGATACAATACAGCAAAAAAAAAAAAAATACAGACTGTAGACAGCAAAAATTGCATCAGAATAAAATATGTAAAGTAAATAAAGCAAATTAACACAATATAAAATCAAACAGAATGTGATTATCAGAATGACGCCCTGTTTTATCTGCACAGAGAAACTTAAAATCCTATCTGTAACTGGATTGACAAGTTATGTACCTGTATGCTGAATACAAGAAAGTTGTGAGTAAACTAGATACGTTACTTTTAACAAAGTCTACTTTATTTTTGTCTCTTGAGAACATGACATAGAAACATGATGTTTTATGGGAGAATAGATGTTGTTGGGCACTGAAAAGAAACACTTCTGAAGAACTGCTATATTTTGTGCATTGGCATAATCTCTGTTCCTAACAGTTCAGAGACAACCAGGTAATCAGTCTAACAACTGAGAACCAACTTACCTTGCATAAGTACATGTGGATATATAACACTGTAGAGAATATTTTACTAAATTGATTTTTTGGCTTTTATGTGCAAGATCATACTTTTACAAAAGCTTATGATTTTCAAATGGTTGTGAATTCCATTCCTCTCCAAAAGGTTATGGAGATTCCAGTTTTCCAAAAGGTAACGATCTCTAAAAAGGTCATGCCTTTCCAAAAGCAATGACCAGCAACTGGAGCATGGAATTTGAGAGCAGTGGGCTACAAAGCCATTCCTGACAGATCTGCTCTCCCCAAAATCTCCTCCAACCCTTTTGGTAAAAGCCGATAGCTGGAAGGATTTGTTAACTTTAAAACACGATGCGAACTTGTATTCCTGCTCCATGAATACTGTGTAACACACATGGGCAAGCTTTGGCCCTCAGTGTTTTGGACTTCAACTACCACTAGTGTGCATGTGTACACATACATACATAAAGGTAAAGGTAAAGGTAGTCCCCTGACATTAAGTCCATTCATGTCTGACTCTGGGGTGTGGTGCTCATCTCCATTTCTAAGCCAAAGAGCCAGCGCTGTCCGTAGACACCTCCAAGGTCATGTGGCCGGCATGACTGCATGGAGCGCCATGCATACATACACACATATATATTGTACTACTTAATTATTATCTTACATTTAAGAGATTTTAAATAATTGATGAGTGAGTACCTCCTAATTAGAGTTGGATTGTTTATATAGAAATACATAAACTTGGAGTAATATAGTAAGAGAGAGAAGCTACCAAGAGAAGCTACAATGGCTCTGTTCTCCGCCATGATGTCCCCATGGAGGGCCCTTTGGTCCGGATCCAGCAGGACCCATTCCTCCTCGCTGAAAGACACAGCCACCTCTTCAAAGGTTACCTGGAGGAAGAAACAATGCTGGTATGTCTCAATTGAAGAAGTCACAGACTCATAGAATGGGAAGAGACCACATGGGCCATCTAGTCCAATAATAAAAAACTATTTATAATAATAATAATAATAATAATAATAATAATAATAATAATAATAAAAATAATAATAATAATATTTTTAAAAAACTTTATTTATATACCGCTCCATCTCCCCGAGGAGACTCAGAGCGATTCCCAGGTAACATCACAAAACATACAAAGTAAAAACAACATAACCATACCCCGCCACCATCTCACTAACAAGGACTCGGGGCAGCTAACGTGAGGCCAAGCCCAAACCTCATGGGCCATCCAGTCCAACCCCATTCTGCCAAGAAGCAGGAATGTTGCATTCAAATCACCCCTGACAGATGGCCATCCAGCCTCTGTTTAAAAGCTTCCAACGAAGGAGCCTCCACCACACTCCAAAGCAGAGAGTTCCACTGCTGAACGGCTCTCACAGTCAGGAAGTTCTTCCTAATGTTCAGGTGGAATCTCCTCTCTTGTAGTTTGAAGCCATTGTTCCGCGTCCTAGTCTCCAAGGAAGCAGAAAACAAGCTTGCTCCCTCCTCCCTGTGGCTTCCTCTCACATATTTATACATGGCTATCATATCTCCTCTCAGCCTTCTCTTCTTCAGGCTAAACATGCCCAGCTCCTTAAGCCGCTCCTCATAGAGGCTTGTTCTCCAGACCCTTGATCATTTTAATCGCCCTCCTCTGGACACATTCCAGCTTGTCAATATCTCTCTTGAATTGTGGTGCCCAGAATTGGACACAATATTCCAGGTGTGGTCTAACCAAGGCAGAATAGAGGGTAGCATGACTTCCCTAGCACTATCTCCCTATTGATGCAGGCCAAAATCCCATTGGCTTTTTTTGCCGCCACATCACAGCTCAGATGGCACAGCGACAGTCATCATTCAAGAGTGGCATCATCAGCAGGCAGCGTTGCAGCTTCATAAGTCACAATCATGGCAGCACAGATCTTGCATATCACATATTCAGGCTGCTGATCTCATGATCCTATTCATGCTAGGTTTCAAGGCTATCACCGATCAGAGTCAAGCTTCCCTTCATATCATCAGCAGGCTCCAAGAGAGGCAGTCCATTAGGCATTTATCCCGCAGCAGCAGCAAGAGTTCAGCAGAAAAATCCAGGGCATCCGCCTCAACAGGGCAGGGCCGAGGTGGTGGCCAGAATTGGACACAATATTCCAGGTGTGGTCTAACCAAGGCAGAATAGAGCATGAGGAGCATGACTTCCCTAGCAATGTTCCCCTTTATACCCAATCCCTTCATATCAGCCCTTACCTGATCCAGGCTCTCGGAAACTGTTCTTGAAGCATCGGAACAAAGTGCAGAGCCTCTGTTTCTTGGGCCTGGTGGGCTTCCATATTCTGAGCAAGACACAAAAAGGAAACATAGGTTGCACTGAGTTTTTTGGCCATATTACAGCAGCATTCCCAAGGTTATTTAATTTTCACAACCATTAAGCAACTTTGGTAAAGTCTAAACAGGCATTTTCTAGGTCCTCATGTGCGACTCTAAGGCAGTCCTCAGAAGGGTTCACTGTGATTTTGAGTACAGAATCAGAGAATCATAAAAGTTGGAAGAGATCTCCTGGGCCATCCAGTCCAACCCCATTCTGCCAAGAAACAGGAATATTGCATTCAAATCACCCCTGACAGATGGCCATCCAGCCTCTGTTTCAAAGCTTCCAAAGAAGGAGCCTCCACCACACTCCGGGGCAGAGAGTTCCACTGCTAAACAATTCTCACAGTCAGGAAGTTCTTCCTCATGTTCAGGTGGAATCTCCTTTCTTGTAGTTTTTCAGTGTCTGATCCCAAACTATCTGCTTCAAACTGGATTATATAGAATCATAGAATCAAAGAGTTGGATGAGACCTCCTGGGCCATCCAGTCCAACCCCATTCTGCCAAGAAGCAGGAATATTGCATTCAAATCACCCCTGACAGATGGCCATCCAGCCTCTGTTTAAAAGCTTCCAAAGAAGGAGCCTCCACCACACTCCGGGGCAGAGAGTTCCACTGCTGAACGGCTCTCACAGTTAGGAAGTTCTTCCTTGTGTTCAGATGACTCTACACTGCCATATAATCCAATTCAAAGCAAATTAGCTTGGATCAGAAACTGGATTATATGGCAGTGTAGATGGGGCCTAAGGGACAGCTAAACTGAAGAATATTCCCTTTTATCCTTACCCGATGAGGTAGTTTCCTTCTCCTCTTCCTGTATGATCCACCTGTTTTGCATTTCCTGTGCAGAGTTGGAAGTAATCTTTTCAAGACTCTCTTTCAGAAAAACCTCCTGCATCACAAACAGAAAACGATTAGAAAAACAATGGTTCCAGATGGGGGTGGGTTAGGAATAATTCCCACAAAACATTCAAAGGGAAATGATTTTTGTTCCTGGGATATAAATGTCATTTCCTAATTGGTTCTAAACTAAAAACATGGGAAAAGTTTATTAAATTGCAAAAAAAAAAAAAAGGTTTTGCAGGAGGAACATCCTGCAGCACATTTTGCTATAGTTTTTCAAGGAATATCTCATCGAATCTCAACCAAATCAACCCAGTTTGTGACAGCCACAAGCAGGAAGTTTCTGGAGTAGAACAACTACAGTGTTCCCTCACTAATCACGGGTGTTCCTTTCCAGGACCACCCATGATAAATGAAATACCAGGAAGTAGGGACGTTCCCACCCCCCTCTCACTTCGTCTTCTCTTTCCTCTCCTCTTTCCCCTCTCTTCCTCTCACCCTTGGGCGTTCATGCCACCCTCCCCTGGCAAGAGGGACGCTTTCACCTGCATGGCCCTCCTCCACCTTGCCTTCCCTCCTTGCCTTCCTTCCTCCGCTGCTTTCCCTCCTAAGGCTGTGGGAGAAAGAAGAGAAGGAGGAAGAAGAAGATGCTGGGGTTGGGGAGGAAATGAAGGGAGACGCTGGAGATGCTGCCCCTTCAACCAGGTCTCCTCCAGCGGCAGCTCCTGCAGAAGCAGCACAGGCCGAGCGAGAGGGACAAGAGGAGGGAAAGTGGAGGAGGAAATTTCTGATCACCATCTCCCAAAGCAGTTACTCTAAGTGGAGGCTCCTTCTTTGGAAGCTTTTAAACAGAGGCTGGATGGCCATCTGTCGGGGGTGATTTGAATGCAATATTCCTGCTTCTTGGCAGAATGGGGTTGGACTGGATGGCCTATGAGGTCTCTTCCAACCCTTTGATTCTATGATTCTATACTCCCAACTCAAGAATAGGAAATGTAACGTTGGTGGACAGGAAAAGAGATCTAAAGATGGGCATAAAGCCAACCTTAAAAACTGTGGTATAAACACCTAGAACTGGGAAGCCCTGGCCCTTGAGCACTCTAGCTGGAGGTCAGCTGTGACCAGCAGTGCTGCAGAATTCAAAGAGGCATGAATGGAGGGAGAAAGGGAGAAACATGCCAAGTGGAAGGCGCGTCAATCCAAACCTGACGGGGACCACCTGGAAACCAATGCCCTCACTGCGAAAGGAGATGCGAATCAAGAATAGGGCTCCACAGCCACCTTCGTATCCACACCAAGACATTACACTTGGAGGACTATCATCCTCGGGCTATGAGGGATCGCCTAAGTAAGTACTAAGTACGTAGGTTTGTTTATTATCCCGTCTCTCCATGAGTCCTCCTTACAATTAATTTTACCCCTTTATCTCACCACAGAATCATAGAGTTGGAAGAGACCTCATGGGCCATCCAGTCCAACCCCATTCTGCCAAGAAGCAGGAATATTGCATTCAAATCACCCCTGACAGATGGCCATCCAGCCTCTGTTTAAAAGCTTCCAAAGAAGGAGCCTCCTCCACACTCCGGGGCAGAGAGTTCCACTGCTGAACGGCTCTCACAGTCAGGAAGTTCTTCCTCATGTTCAGGTGGAATATCCTCTCTTGTAGTTTGAAGCCATTGTTCCGCGTCCTAGTCTCCAAGGAAGCAGAAAACAAGCTTGCTCCCTTCTCCCTGTGGAGGGGTTTTAAAATCATTTTATGTACATGCGGCCCACTCTTTGTCCTTATGTTTGGTTCTTATATTCTACGTATATTGTTTATATGCTTTGATGTTTTATACTTTAATGTTATGTTGTTTATTTTGTTGTAATCTTGTATTTTTCTGTATTGCAATTTGTTGTTAGGGCTTGGCCCCATGTAAGCCGCTCCGAGTCCCCCGTTGGGTGAGATGGTGACAGGGTATAAATACAGATTATTATTATTATTATTATTATTATTATTATTATTATTCCCTCACTTTTCACTGGGGTTCTGTTCCAGGAACCCCCGCGATAAGTGAAAAACCGCGATGCAGGGATGCTATACTGTATATCAGTGGTTCTCAACCTGGGGTCCCCAGATGTTTTTGGCCTTCAACTCTCAGAGATCCTAACAGCTGGTAAACTGACTGGGATTTCTGGGAGTTGTAGGCCAAAACACCTGGGGACCCACAGGTTGAGAACTATTGCTGTATATGTACAGTATAGCCTTGCCCACTCCTCTCTCCCCCTCCTCTCTCTCTCTCTTCCTCCCTCCCTCCCTCCCTCCCTTGCTGAAGCCACCCTTCTCCCTCCCTCTCTGCTTCCCCACTGACATGGGGCTCTCACCCGGTCACCCGAGTAAGAGCGACCGGAAAGAAACCCTGGCAGAAGCTGCCTTGGCGGCCCTCTCCGCACCCCTCACCAGCACCATGTGGGGTTTATAAATCTGTGTATACAGTATTCCCTCATTAGTTGTATTTTAAATTATTTTTTCTTGAAAAACCACGAAACAGCGAGTTCATGTGAAGTAAACTGCAAAGTACTGAGGGAACACTGTTTATTGGATGCGGAGTACCACTTAATTGGGGTAAAAACCCAACAGACAATTGGGAGCTTGGAATATTCTTGCCAAAGTTAAATATTCTTACCTGTTGCTCTTTCTCCTTCTCCTCTTGGGCCCGACTCAGGAGGAAGCCTTCCGCCAAGGCCACAGCCTGGGAGCTGGTCTCTGCCCCACATTCCCTCACCCAGCGCTCCATCTCGGCAGGAAGGACGGCCAGGAACTGCTCCAGGATCACCAGGTCCAGCATCTCCGCCTTGGAGTGTCGCTCGGGCTTCAGCCACAGGCGGCAGAGAGAGTGGAGGCGGCTGCAAACCTCCCGGGGCCCCAAGTCTTCATTATAGAGGAATTGTCTGAAGCTATGCCACTGTACCTCCGACCTGTATGTTTCCTCCCCCAACTCCTTCTGCATCGTTCTTCTTTCCAATAATGTCCCTCTGTTCTCACCCTTGATACTAGGAAAGCCTGTATTGGGCTTGAGTCCAGCTGAGTCTTTCTCCTCCATCATTGTGCAGTGATCCCAGACAGACTCCATTCAAGATGAAGGAATGTTTTTTTCTCTTCAAGGAGATCTTCCTTCAGGTAAAAGATGGGGAAATATTGGAAAATACCAAGCCCTGCAGAAGAGGTAAAATTCAAAGACACCGTTGTATTTAGTCTGGAATTGCCAGGGGGAATTTTTCAAAAGAGAAGCAGTAAACAAAAGAAACTTCAGCCCTCCAGGTGTTTTGGACTTCAACTCTCACAAGTATGTATGTATGTCTATACACACACACAAACATACTATACTACTTAATTAACTTACATTTAAGAGATTTTAGATAATTGACAGGTTACTACCTGATGATTAGAGTTGGATTGTTTATATAGAAATACAGCTTAATGGTGGAACATTAGAAAATGTTGACCATTTCCGCTATCTTGGCAGCCACCTCTCCACCAAAGTCAACATCGACACTGAAATACAACACCGCCTGAGCTCTGCGAATGCAGAATTTTTCTGAATGAAGCAGAGAGTGTTTGAGGATGGGCCAGCTGCGCCACAATCCAGGTGCTAGTTCATTGGGACTAGTTCATGCTAGTCCCAATGATCTCACAAAGTGAGTGAAGGTGTTGCAAGTCCCATCATCCATTGCACGTCGTCCCCCAAACCACACCAGGATGTCAAGTGGGTCATGGGGTTTCTGTGTGCCAAATTTGGCCCAGTTGCATCATTGGTGGGTATTGCTGTGGTCAATGGGAGCTGGAGCAATTGAAAGTACTGCAAATCCCATCACCCGTGCTCAACCTTCCTCCAAACCGCACCAGGATGTAAAGGGAGTTATGGGGGTTATGTGTGCCAAGCTTGGTCCAGGTCCATCACCCGTGCAGGTCGCAGTGGCCTGTGAAAGTGGCAGCCAATCAGAAAGCTGCCACATACACCGCCTTCCGCATACAAACACTGACTTGTACTTTAAGCCAATCAGAAAACTGCCACATACACCACCCTCCGCATACAAACACTGACTTTTATTATATACATAGATAGATAGATAGATAGATAGATGTTAATGTTTTAATTGTATTTATAATCTGTTTTAACTTGTATTTTATAGTTGCGAGGCATCGATTTTGAACCGCCCTGAGTTGTCTTCAGGCTGAGGAAGGCGGTATATAAATATGGCAAACAAATAACTGTAAGAGCCATTCAGCAGTGGAACTCTCTGCCCCGGAGTGTGGTGGAGGCTCCTTCTTTGGAAGCTTTTAAACAGAGGCTTGATGGCCATCTGTCAGGGGTGATTTGAATGCAATATTCCAAAACACCTGGAGGGCCCAAATTTGTCCAGGTCTATTCTCACAACATCTGTAATAGAACTCCAATATGCTGATGATAACGTAGTCTATGCCCATTCCCACAAGCTTCCTAGAGCATTCTCGGATGGAGGGCGATTAATACGTTATTAAATGATGATGATATTCCTACTTCTTGGCAGAATGGGGTTGGACAGGATGGCCCATGAGGTCTCTTCCAACTCTTTGATTCTATGATTCTAGGTGGTATATAAATATGGCAAACAAATAACTGTAAGAGCCATTCAGCAGTGGAACTCTCTGCCCCGGAGTGTGGTGGAGGCTCCTTCTTTGGAAGCTTTTAAACAGAGGCTTGATGGCCATCTGTCAGGGGTGATTTGAATGCAATATTCCAAAACACCTGGAGGGCCCAAATTTGTCCAGGTCTATTCTCACAACATCTGTAATAGAACTCCAATATGCTGATGATAACGTAGTCTATGCCCATTCCCACAAGCTTCCTAGAGCATTCTCGGATGGAGGGCGATTAATACGTTATTAAATGATGATGATATTCCTACTTCTTGGCAGAATGGGGTTGGACAGGATGGCCCATGAGGTCTCTTCCAACTCTTTGATTCTATGATTCTAGGTGGTATATAAATGTGGCAAACAAATAACTGTGAGAGCCGTTCAACAATGGCTTCAAACTACAAGAGAGGAGATTCCATCTGAACATGAGGAAGAACTTCCTGACTGTGAGAACCGTTCAGCAGTGGAACTCTCTGCCCCGAAGCGTGGCGGAGGCTCCTTCTTTGGAAGCTTTTAAGCAGAGGCTGGATGGCCATCTGTCAGGGGTGATTTGAATGCAATATTCCAAAACACCTGGAGGGCCCAAATTTGTCCAGGTCTATTCTCACAACATCTGTAATAGAACTCCAATATGCTGATGATAACGTAGTCTATGCCCATTCCCACAAGCTTCCTAGAGCATTCTCGGATGGAGGGCGATTAATACGTTATTAAATGATGATGATGATGATGATATTCCTCCTTCTTGGCAGAATGGGGTTGGACAGGATGGCCCATGAGATCTCTTCCAACTCTTTGATTCTATGATTCTAGGTTGTGATGCAGGCCAAAATCCTGACTGTGAGAGCCGTTCAGCAGTGGAACTCTCTGCCCCGGAGTGTGGTGGAGGCTCCTTCTTCGGAAGCTTTTAAACAGAGGCTGGATGGCCATCTGTCAGGGGTGATTTGAATGCAATATTCCTGCTTCTTGGCAGAATGGGGTTGGACTGGATGGCCCATGAGGTCTCTTCCAACTCTTTGATTCTATGAAATAAATAAATAATGCAGTTTAAACCTCCCCAGGCAGCAACCAGCCAGGCTTTGAAGCTGCAAGGCCATTGGATGCCAATCAAAGGGGGCCAAGGGCAACATTAAACAGGGATATAAACCATAAATACACTGTAAATTCCCAATCTCTCCATATGGCTATAGTTAAATTAAAATTTAACTAAAAATACATATATCAAAAGCAATAATATGAGCTCCCAAAGTGGCTCACACGATTCCTTACCCAGAAGAAGGGAAACCGGAAATAACTCTTTTCCCTTCTTCCTCCTCTTGGAAGCAGGCGGCCGGAAGGGGCGGGGCGACGCTGACAGCTGGGATCAGCCGCCTCTAGGTCCCGCCCCCTTTTCCCGCCATTTGTCTGCCTTCCCAGAACAGCTGCTGAGGTTGGAGGAGGAGGAGGAGGAGGATGGGATTTTGGCCTGGATTTGACCTCAGCCTCCCTCTTGGGTGAGTCCCACAAGTTTCCTAGATGCAGGGAATGCTGTAGAATCAGGCCTGGGCCCTCCAGGTGTTTGGGACTCCAACTCCCACCATTCCTAACAGCCTCAGGCCCCTTCCTTTCCCCCCCCAGCCGCTTAGGGGGAAAAGGAAGGGGCCTGAGGCTGTTAGGAATGGGGGAGTTGGAGTCCAAGGCACCGGCCAATCTCTACAACGCCAGAATGCTGGGAGTTGAAGTCCGAAACACCCGATGATAACGTAATCTATGCCCATTCAGAAGAAGACACTCGAAACGCCTTTGCGGAGACATACGAGAAGCTCGGCTTCTCACTGAACATCGAGAAAACCAATATGGTATTTCATTAGGCACCAGCCGATCTCTACAATGCCAGAATGATGGGAGTTGAAGTCCGAAATACCCGAAGGGCCCCAAGTTATCCACTCGAGGCAGTTAAAAGCTTTGTGAATTGATTCTGCCATTTGAAATGATTGATGACAAAGGGACACACAAGCTTAAGCGGCTGAGGGAGGCAAAGGAAAGGGCCCGAGGCTGGTGGGAGTTGGAGTCCAAAACGCCCGGAGGCACCAAGACAGCGGCACTTATTGATCTACTCCCATTTGCATGTTTTCAAACTGTGGCGCAGCTACTTACATTAAATCACTACTGACCAAGAGGTCATGAGTTCGAAGCCCGCCCCGAGTCGGAGTGAGCTCCTGACCATTAATAGTCTACCTTGTTGTTGACCTATGCAGCCTGAAAGATATTTGGCAATAAGGACCGGGCTGTGGTGCAGCTAGCTGGGGAGCCAGCTGCATTAAATCACTACTGACCGAGAGGTCATGAGTTTGAAGCCTGCCCCAAGTCAGAGCTCCCAACCATTAATAGTCTAGCTTGTTGTTGACCTATGCAGCCTGAAAGATATTTGGCAATAAGGACCGGGTTGTGATGCAGCTAGCTGGGGAGCCAGCTGCATTAAATCACTACTGATCGAGAGGTCATGAGTTCGAAAGTAGGCAGTGTTGGAGTGAGCTCCCGACCGTTAATAGTCTAGCTTGTTGTTGACCTATGCAGCCCGAAAGATATTTGGCAATAAGGACCGGGCTGTGGTGTAGCTGCATTAAATCACTACTGACCGAGAGGTCATGAGTTCGAAAGCAGGCAGGGTTGGAGCGAGCTCCCGATCGTTAATAGTCTAGCTTGTTGTTGACCTATGCAGCCCGAAAGATATTTGGCAATAAGGACCGGGTTGTGGTGCAGCTAGCTGTGGAGCCAGCTGCATTAAATCACTACTGACCGAGAGGTCATGAGTTCGAAGGCAGGCAGGGTCGGAGTGAGCTCCTGACCGTTAACAGTCCAGCTTGTTGTTGACCTATGCAGCCTGAAAGATAGTTGGCAATAAGGACCGGGTTGTGATGCAGCTAGCTGGGGAGCCAGCTGCATTAAATTACGACTGACCGAGAGGTCATGAGTTTCTCAGCCAGCCCGGGTCAGACTGAGCTCCCTACCGTTAATATAGCTTGTTGTTGACCTATGCAGCCTGAAAGACAGTTGCATCTGTCAAGTAGGAAATTTAGTACCACTTTATGCGGGGAGGCTAATTTAACTAATTTACGACACCATAAAACCTTCCAGCAGCGTGTGTAAGAATGAGAAAGTACTCCATCAAGGAATCAGTGTCACAAGTGGACAGTGAAGCGGCAGCTCCTCCTGTGGCCAGAATAGAGCATACCCTCATGAAGCCAGAAAGCTGGAAGGTTAAATTGCCTCTGTGTCTGTCTATATATGTTGTATGTCTATTGGCATTGAATGTTTGCCCTGTATATGTGCATTGTAATCCCCTCTGAGTCCCTTGCGGTGTGAGAAAGGCGGAATATAAATACTGTAAATAAATATAAACAAATAAATAAGTTGGCAGAAGCTGAGGCTAACAGTGGGAGCTCATGTCACTGCCCAGATTCGAACCTGCAACATTTTGGTAAGCGAGTTCAGCGGTTCAGTGGTTTAACCCACTGTGACAAAACAAAAACCACAAATACTGAAAGAACAGATAATGCATTGGATGAAGATGCTTTTGACTCATTGCATTTTGTCTTCTCTATATACAGAAGGCTGCTTTGGATATGAACTTTATGGTTCCACACTGGTCTACCTCCAGAGGGGCTTTGTAATCCCATAAGCAGGCCAGCAACGGACTTTCCTCCCATCCCAGCCATGCAGGACGACACTCTCCCATCTTCAGTGTTGCAGTAAGTGTTACCCGCCAATCTAGTTTGCAATGGTGTGTTTGTGTGTATATATGAAATAATATCATTCAGCTCAGACCACAACATAGAATCATAGAGTTGGAAGAAACCTCATGGGCCATCCAGTCCAACCCCATTCTGCCAAGAAGCAGGAATATCACATTCAAAGCACCCCCGACAGATGGCCATCCAGCCTCTGTTTAAAAGCTTCCAAAGAAGGAGCCTCCACCACACTCCGGGGCAGAGAGTTCCACTGCTGAACGGCTCTCACAGTCAGGAAGTTCTTCCTCATGTTCAGATGGAATCTCCTTACTTGTAGTTTGAAGCCATTGTTCAGCGTCCTAGTCTCCAGGGCAGCAGAAAACAAGCTTGCTCCCTCCTCCCTATGACTTCCTCTCACATATTTATACATGGCTATCATGTCTCCTCTCAGACGTCTCTTCTTCAGGCTAAACATGCCCAGCTCCTTAAGCCACTCCTCACAGGGCTTGTTCTCCAGATCCCTTGATCATTTTAGTCGCCCTCCTCTGGACACATTCCAGCTTGTCGATCTTGAGCTGGCTGAGGGCCATTCCACAAAGTATATAACCCAGAATATCAAGGAAAATCCCATATTTTATATACTGGGTTATCTGCCATATGTTCCAGTTCAGAGCAGATAATGTGGGTCTTTATTCAGCTGTGTGGAAGGGGCCTGAGGAGGAACAATAGAACTTTCTATTATTATTATTATTATTATTATTATTATTATTATTTTACTGACAGAAAAACACAGTATGTCACAGCAAATGAGATATATATGCTGGATTTCGTATCACAAAATCACAAGTCGAACACTTCCCAAGCGTTCTAAGACTGTGTGATGTATTTTTGAATGATGCGTGAAGATCCAAGTAAAGTGGCCTTTTGCAGTTGATAGATTTTTGTCAATGTTTATTGTTTCCAAATGCCGGCTGAGATCTTTTGGCACGGCACCCAGTGTGCCAATGACCACTGGAACCACCTGAACTGGTTTATACCAGAGCCTTTGCAGTTCGATTTTGAGGTCCTGATAACTGCTGAGTTTTTCCTGTTGTTTTTCCTCAATTTGACTGTCACCCGGTATGGTGACATCAATAATTACCTGTCTGAACGCATTTCCCCCTATGAACCATCGCAGAGATTGAGATCCTCCAGGGAGGCCCTGCTTTCCGTCCCGCCATAACTAATTTTGCTACTGTTATGAATCGTCATGTAAATATCTGGTATGCAGGATGTATTTTCATTCACTGGACCAAATTTGGCGCAAACACGCAATAGAAAAAACCCTGAGAACCTTTCTTTGAGGCATCCCGGCTTCCCGCTGGGCTTAAAGTATACGTCCTATAGAAAAGACAATTGTTACAGGCCCAGCATGTGACAGAACACCATCAGTAAGGGACACTGGGTGAAGCAACTCCTTTGCAATAACCGCGCATGATTATGACCAAGTCATTACGACACTCTCTTAGGTATTGCATTATGACATTCACAGTCATGACCCAGGTGCTCACAATCAACCACAGTACTTTTTTCTTTGACTAGAAATGCTGTGCCATTTCTCACCAGACATTTTGGTTTCCTTCTAGAGCTTGTTCTCATCCAGGAATTTCTCCAGTGTGTGGTCAAAGGCTTTCATGGCCGGAATCGCTTTCTCCAGACCTTTGCCCGAGAAAAGATCTGACAGGAGAGACAACGCTTCCTTTTCTCATGGCAGAATTTGCCCAGGGGCACGGCTCCGCGATGAAGAAGCAAGGAATAAGACACGGTTACCCGACAGTTCAGGCTTGGAGCAAAGGAACCTTCTGGGAAAGAGGAAGCATGCCGAAGGGGACGGCGAAGGATGCACTTAGTTCGGAGGCATGGCGCCAGTACTTTCGACAGTTCTGCTACAAAGACACTGAGACGCCCCGGGAAATATGCGACCGACTCCACTCTCTCTGCCGCCAGTGGCTGAAGCCAGAGAAACACACCAAGGCCCAAATCCTGGACCTGGTGGTGCTGGAGCAGTTCCTGGCTGTCCTTCCCTTGGAGATGAAGGACTGGGTGAGAGAATGTGGGGCGGAGACCTGTTCCCAGGCGGTTGCCTTGGCAGAAGGGTTCCTCCTGAGTCGGGCACAAGAGGAGAAGCAGCAGGATCAGCAGGTGAGAGGCTTTTTTACAGATTTTAAAGATTTGCTCTGACTCACTTCCGGTGGACTGAGAGTAATGAAAGTTGGCTTGTTGTAGGTTTTTCGGGCTATATGGCCATGTTCTAGAGCAGTGTTTCTCAACCTGGGGGTCGGGACCCCTGAGGGGGGTCGCAAAGGGGTGTCAGAGGGGTCGCCAAAGACCATCAGAAAACACAGTATTTTCTGTTGGTCATGGGGGTTCTGTGTGGGAAGTTTGGCCCAATTCTATCATTGGTGGGGTTCAGAACGCTCCTTGATTGTAGGTGAACTATAAATCCCAGTACACAACTCCCAAATGTCAAAGTCTATTTCCCCCAAACCCCATCAGTGTTCACATTTGGGCATATTGAGTATCTGTGCCAAGTTTGGTCCAGATCCATCACTGTTTGTGTCTGCTGTGCTCTCTGGATGTAGGTGAACTACAACTCCCAAATTCAAGGTCAGTGCCCACCAAACTCTTCCAGTATTTTCTGTTGGTCATGGGAGTTCTCTGTGCCAACTTTGATTCAATTCCATTGTTGGTGGGGTTCAGAATGCTCTTTGTTTACAGGTTAACTTTAAATCTCAGCAACTACAACACCCAAATGGCAAAATCAATCCCCGCCAACCCCACCAGTATTCAAATTTGGGCATACCGGGTATTTGTGCCAAATTTGCTCCAGTGAATGAAAATACATCCTGCAGATCATTATTTACATGGCAATTCATAATGTTAGGGTTATGGTTGGGGGTCACCACAACATGAGGAACTGTATTAAGGGGTCGCGGCATTAGGAAGGTTGAGAACCACTGGCCTAGAGACACCTGGGATTTGCAGATTCTTTTTGCACAGTCTGCCAGGGCTTTTATGGTGCTTCTCTTTCGACTTCTGACTTTTCAAGATGGTTCTTAGTTCTGAGTTGTACATTGGTACATAACCTATAGAGACTTATATCCTTACACATGTGCAGTTTCAGCGTCCTGTGATAAATAGAAGTGGGTCAGGGGAAATCTTTAATGAACGCCCCTCGTATCCTGGTTCTTCCAATTCAATGCTCCATGGTATTTTCTAGAAACCATCCAATTCTTTCCCTGTTTCTTTTCTAAACCTTCCCTTCGCCCTCTTGTCTGTCGCTTCGTCACAGGAAGTCTTCATGGGAGAGTCTGCTGATTTCCCTGATGTGGAGCAGGGTCCTTTCGACTCCGGAGAGAGAAGGCAGTACAGGTGGATTGCACAGAAACAGGATGTAGACGCCGTCACCTCGAGCTCCAATTTGGATAAGGTAGGAGTCAGGATCCCCCGTGAGCCAAGAAAGGGGCATTTCTGATATCCCTCTCACGCAGGGCCTGAAAAAAATCTCCATGTTTTTCTTTCTTTCCATCACTGTGACATTTAATATTCCTCTTTATGAAGAATTAAGCTGTATTTCCTAATCTCAAGGTAAATTTATTTGTTTATTCACCCTATTTATACTCCACCTGTCAAGACCCAGACCGAGCCGCAAAACAAACGGCACTGTAGGAGTTAAAAGTAGGTGTTTAATGTCTATTAGCAAAACAAAAGGAGTCTCTTCAACTCAGAGTAATAAACAGAAAAGGCTTGCAGTCAGCAGGAATGTAAACAAACTGGTCTCAGTCAGCCTCTGGCTGGCAAGGGAAAGTCAGTCTTAAACAAAATCAGGCAGCTTGGATTCAGCAGGAAAACAAAGTCCAATTCAAAGGCAAACAAAACAGCAAGCAACACTTCACATGAAGAGCGGTCCAACGAAGTTCCAAGGATTAGGCAGAGGCGTTGTCAGGCAGTCCGAGGGTCAAGGCAAGGAAGAACTCACGAGTCAGGATCTGGCAGGGATGATTTCACGAGCAGGAAACACGAAGCTGCAACAAGAGCTCACGGCAGGAGTTAACACAAAGCACACAGCATGCGACACTTTGAACTCTGCGATTAGACTGTCCCCAAGCTGCTGCTTAAATCTCATCCGAGTCGCTGGAGTTACTTTCAGCTGGGTCTAATTCCTCAGGTGAATCCAAGCCGCGCCATTGCTGCCACTCAGCGCTTCGGGCTCCATCCTGCAAATTATTATCTACAACCCAATTATCAGTGAAACCCTGGAATTCATCGCTAGACATGGGGGCGTTAATCACATCCATTACTTCCTGAACTTTAGTTCAGTCCAGCTCTTCCTCTTCGCTGTCGAACTCCCCACAGTCTGCTACATCTCTCAGGCGTTTAGCAACAGATCCCACATCACTGTTTGAGCTGCTGGCTACTCTTTTTACACCTCTGTAATCTTCCAGCTCCATTTCCTCGCGAGTAAAACCCTCAAAATCCTCCTCATCTGTAGTCTCTAAAAACAAGTCTCTAATCCTTTTCAGCTGCTGCTGAGCTTCATCATTCTCTAAAGCACGTTTCCTTCTACTACAAGGAGTAGGTGCATGAGACAGATGCTGAGTCTCAACACCACCTGTGCTGGCACTGCTGTGCCAGGAGATTTGAATTTCTTTTTCTTGCACTGCTAGTTTGCATGAATCTATTTAAGCCATGCATTTTGCAATGAGGTAGCTTCCCTCCGCAGTGGGTTAAAGCACTGAGCTGGTGAGCTTGTTGATCGAAAGGTCGCAGGTTCGATTCCGGGGAGCGGCATGAGCTTCCGCTGTCAGCCCTGGCTTCTGCCAACCTAGTAGTTCGAAAACATGCAAATGTGAGTAGATCAATAGGTACCGCTCCGGCGGGAAGGTAACGGCGCTCCATGCAGTCATGCCGGCCACATGACCTTGGAGTGTCTACGGACAACGCTGGCTCTTCGGCTTAGAAATGGAGATGAGCACCACACCCCAGAGTCAGACATGACTGGACTTAATGTCAGGGGACTACCTTTACCTTTTTCCTTCAGGTTGCAGTCATAGGGCCAACAACTTGGCAATCATCGTTAGAATTTTTAGAGCCGCCCCTTTTCCCAGGGTTTTGGAGGGAAAGGAGGACCTGTGTTCATTCTCACTGTTTTGGAGCCTAACAGCAGGATGTGTGGGTCTCTCTCTCCCACCTGCACAAAAGCTTCATTTCTCATAGCTTTGCTTGGGAAAAAAGGAAAGGTTCCACAGCTTTTGCTGGGGTTAAAGAAATAGACCTACAATCACAGAGCATTTTGAACTCCACCAAAGATGGAATTGAACCAAACTTGGCACATGGAACTCCCACGACCAACAGAAAATACTGGGAGGGTTTGGTGGGCACTGACCTTGAGTTTTGGAGTTGTAGTTCACCTACATCCAGAGAGCATCGTGGACTCAAACAATGATGGTTCTGGACCAAACTCTCACCAATGATAGAATTGGGCCAAACTTTCCAAACAGAACCACCATGACCAACAGAAAATACTGTCTTTTCTGGTGGTCTTTGGTGACCCCTCTGACACTCCCCTCACAAGCCCCCAGTGGTCCTGACCCCCAGGTTGAGAAGCCCTGCTCTAGTGGGTTACTAACTGAATGCTTGATCCCACATCCACGTCTTTAGCTTTTCCTGAGAGTCAGGAGGGAGGAGGCTGATTTGATTTCACTAGGAAAGGAGTTCCAGAGTTGAGGGGCCACCACCGAGAAGGCCCTGTCTCTCATCCTTGGCAATCGTGTCTGCAAAGGAGGCGGGACCAAGAGCAGGACCTCCTCAGACGATCTTAACCTCTTAGCCGGCTCATAGAAGGAGATATGTTCAGACAGGTAAACTGGGACAGAACCATTTAGGGCTTTATAGGCTAAAGCCGCCCATTGGACCAATTGAAGCTTCTGAACAGTCTTCAAAGGCAACCCCATGTAGTGTTTATTGCAGTGATGATGGCAAGGTAATGCATGCCACATTCCAGCAAATATGGAAAACACAAAAATGGACATCAGACTGGAAAAAAAATCAACTTATATCCCCATACCAAAAAAGGGAAATGCTAAAGACTGCTCAAACTTCCGTACAGTGGCCCTTATTTCTCATGCCAGTAAGGTAATGCTCAAGATCCTGCAAGGAAGACTCCAGCAATACATGGAGCGAGAGTTGCCAGATGTTCAAGCTGGGTTTAGAAAAGGCAGGAACGAGAGACCAGATTGCCAATATCCGCTGGATAATGGAGAAAGGCAGGGAGTTTCAGAAAAACATCTACTTCTGCTTCATTGACTATTCTAAAGCCTTTGACTGTGTGGATCATAATAAATTGTGGCAAGTTCTTAGTGGGATGGGCATCCCAAGCCACCTTGTCTCTCTCCTGAGGAATCTGTACAAGGACCAAGTAGCAACAGTCAGAACTGGCCACGGAACAACAGACTGGTTCAAGATTGGGAAAGGCGTACGGCAAGGCTGCATACTCTCACCCAACCTTTTTAACTTGTATGCAGAACACATCATGCGATGTGCGGGGCTGGATGAAGGCAAAGCTGGGGTGAAAATTGCTGGAAGAAACATTAACAACCTCAGATATGCAGATGACACCACCCTGATGGCCGGAAGCGAGGAGGAGCTGAGGAGCCTTCTAATCAAGGTGAAAGAAGAAAGCGCAAAAGCCGGGTTGCAGCTAAACGTCAAAAAAACCAAGATTATGGCAACAAGAATGATTGACAACTGGAAAATAGAGGGAGAAAACGTGGAGGCAGTGACAGACTTTGTATTTCTAGGTGCAAAGATTACTGCAGACTGCAGCCAGGAAATCAGAAGATGCTTCCTTCTTGGGAGGAGGGAAAGGACCCATCTCGATAAAATAGTGAAGAGTAGAGACATCCCACTGGCAACCAAGGTCCGCATAGTTAAAGCAATGGTATTCCCCTAAGTCACCTACGGATGTGAGAGCTGGACCTTAGGGAAGGCTGAGCGAAGGAAGATCGATGCTTTTGAGCGGGTGTTGGAGGAAAGTTCTGAGAGTGCCTTGGACTGCGAGAAGATCCAACCCGTCCATCCTCCAGGAAATAAAGCCCGACTGCTCACTGGAGGGAAAGATACTAGAGACAAAGTTGAAGTACTTTGGCCACATCATGAGGAGACAGGAAAGCCTAGAGAAGCCAATTATGCTGGGGAAAGTGGAAGGCAAAAGGAAGAGGGGCCGACCAAGGGCAAGATGGATGGATGGCATCCTTGAAGTGACTGGACTGACCTTGAGGGAGCTGGGGGTGGTAACGGCCGACAGGGAGCTCTGGCGTGGGCTGGTCCATGAGGTCACGAAGAGTCGGAGACGACTGAACGAATGAACAACAACAATCCTCTATGTAATGTAAACATGGACCACCGTGGCCAAGTCTGACTTCCCAAGGTACGGGTGCAGCTGGCACACAACGTTTAATTGTGCGAAGGCTCTCCTGGCCACTGCTGAAACTCTGGGGTTCTAGGCTCAGCGATAAGTACACCGTTTTGTTTTCTGGTTGCATAAGTATTTTTGGCTCACAGATACAATGTCTTCCCCCAGGTGAACTTTGAAGCCGTGGCCGTGTCTTTCAGTGAGGAGGAGTGGACCCTGCTGGATCCAGACCAAAGGGCCCTCCACAGGGAAGTCATGGAGGAGAATCTGTGGATCGTGGCCTCTCTGGGTGAGTTCCTCTCATTGCTGAGGCTTCAGAATCACTGAAGCAGCCACAGGGAGGAAAGGGCTCATCCGTCCCTTAGTGCCCAGCAAATGGTCTCCATTTTCCATTTTAGAAAAAAAAAAAAGCCCAACGTGCCTTGGCCTATGAATGTTTTTAGGTAGCCCTCCTTCAGGGCTACAGAAAAACAAATTTAAATTCAAAATGGAAGGGACAACACATATCTATACATATCTATATCTATATAAATAAAAATGTAATGTTCGTTTGTGGGATTAGCATAACTCAAAAACAACTGGATGAATTGACACCAAATTTGGACACAAGACACCTAACAACCCAATGTATGTCCTTCACTAAAAAAATATTTTGTCATTTGGGAGTTGTAGTTGCTGGGATTTATAGTTCACCTACAATCAAAGAACATTCTGAACCCCACCAACGATAGAATTGAACCAAACTTGGCACACAGTTCTCCCATGACCAACAGAAAATACTGGAAGGGTTTGGTGGGCAGTGTCCTTTGGTTTTGGAGTTGTAGTTCACCTACATCCAGAGATCATTGTGGACTCAAACAATGATGGATCTGGACCAAACTCTACACGAATATTCAATATGTCCAAATGTGAACACTGGTGGAGTTTGGGGAAAATAGAATCTTGACATTTGGGAGTTGTAGTTGCTGGGATTTATAGTTCACCTACAATCAAAGAGCATTCTGAACCCCACCAATGATGGAATTGAACCAAACTTGGCACACAGTTCTCCCATGACCAACAGAAAATACTGGAAGGGTTTGGTGGGCACTGACCTTGAGTTTGGGAGTTGTAGTTCACCTACATCCAGAGATCACTGTGGACTCAAACAATGATGGATCTGGACCAAACTCTACACGAATACTCAATATGCCCAAATGTGAACACTGGTGGAGTTTGGGGAAAATAGAATCTTGACATTTGGGAGTTGTAGTTGCTGGGATTTATAGTTCACCTACAATCAAAGAACATTCTGAACCCCACCAACGATAGAATTGAACCAGACTTGGCACACAGTTCTCCCATGACCAACAGAAAATACTGGAAGGGTTTGGTGGGCACTGACCTTGAGTTTTGGAGTTGTAGTTCACCTACATCCAGAGATCATTGTGGACTCAAACAATGATGGATCTGGACCAAACTCTACACGAATATTCAATATGTCCAAATGTGAACACTGGTGGAGTTTGGGGAAAATAGAATCTTGACATTTGGGAGTTGTAGTTGCTGGGATTTATAGTTCACCTACAATCAAAGAGCATTCTGAACCCCACCAATGATAGAATTGAACAAAACTTGGCACACAGATCTCCCATGACCAACAGAAAATACTGGAAGGGTTTGGTGGGCATTGACCTTGAGTTTTGGAGTTGTAGTTCACCTACATCCAGAGAGCACTGTGGACTCAAACAATGATGGATCTGGACAAACTTGGCATGAATACTCAATATGCCCAAATGTGAACACTGTGGAGTTTGGGGAAAATAGAATCTTGACATTTGGGAGTTGTAGTTGCTGGGATTTATAGTTCACCTACAATCAAAGAGCATTCTGAACCCCACCAACGGTAGAATTTGGCCAAACCACCCACACAGAACCCCCATGTGGGCCACAGGGGATGGCTAGTATCTATATAAATAAAAATGTAATGTTCGTTTGTGGGATTAACAGAACTCAAAAACCACTGAGCAAATTGACACCAAATTTGGACATAAGACACCTATCAGGCCAACAAGTGACCATCACTCATAAAAACATTGGAAAAACACAGAAAAAGAGATTTAAAAAGCCAAAAAAAATATTATACATTACAACGCATGCACAAAATCACATATATACACATAATATATACACATAAACATAAATACAAACACACAAAAACACATATACACAGACTGGGCAACAGCAACGCGTGGCAGGGGACGGCTAGTCTATATAAATTAAAAATGTAATGTTTGTTTGTGGGATTAACAGAACTCAAAAACCACTGGACGAATTGACACCAAATTTGGACACTACACCCCTAACAGACCAACGAGTGACCATTACTCATAACCACTCCCCCCTCCCAAAAAAAAAAAACCAATGGAAAGGACTTAAAAAACCCCAAAAGCTCAACAATGAAAAGCTAAATGATGATACAGAAAAAAGAGAGGGAAGAAAGGGGAAAAGGAAAGAGAGAAAAAGAAAGGAAGGAGAGAAAGAGGGAGGAAAGGGAAGGAAGGAAGGAAGGAAGGAAGGAAGGAAGGAAGGAAGGAAGGAAAGAGGGAGAGAAGGAAGAAAGGAGAGAAAGAGGGAGGGAAAGAAAAAGGAGGAAGGAAGGAGAAGAAGGAAGGAAGGAAGGAAGGAAGGAAGGAAGGAAGGAAGGAAGGAAGAAGGAAGGAAGAGAAGGAAAGAAAAAAGGGAAAGAAGGAAGGAAAGAGGGAGCGAAGGAAGGGGGGAAGATGTAGAGAAAGAGGGAGGGAAGGAAAGAGAGAAAGAAAAGAGAGACAGCAGAAGAGAAAGAAAAAGGGGGAAGGAAGGAAAGAGATAGAGAAGGAAGGAAGAAGAGAAGGAAAGATGGGAAGAAAGGAAGGAAAGAGGGAGTGAAGGAAGGAGGGAAAGAAGGAGAGGAAGAGGGAAGGTTGGCCACAGCAAAGCGTGGCAGATACAGCTAGTATATAAATAAAAATGTAATGTTCGCTTGTGGGATTAACATAACTCAAAAACCACTGGATGAATTGCCACCAAATTTGGCCACAAGACACCTACTAACCCAAGGAGTGACCATCACTCAAAAAAATTTTGTCATTTGGGAGTTGTAGTTGCTGGGATTTATAGTTCACCAACAATCAAAGCGCACTCTGAACTCCACCAATGACAGAATTGAACCAAACGTGGCACACAGGACTCCCGTGACCAACAGAAAACACTGGAAGGGTTTGGAGGGCATTGACCTTAATTGCTTCAGTGTGAAGTCCAAAGGACATCTCTTGCTGTCGTTGTTGCTAGCTATTATTGTTATGTTGTTTTGTGCTGTCTTGATTGTTTTTGCTTTGTTTTTAATTGTATTCTGCCTTGGGCTTGGGCCCCATGTAAGCCGCCCCGAGTCCCTTTGGGGAGATGGAGGCGGAGTAGAAAAATAAAGTTCTTCTTCTTCTTCTTCCTCTGCCTCTGCCTCTGCCTCTTCCTCTTCCGCCTCTACCTCTTCAGCTTCTTCTTCTTCTGCCTCTTCCTCTTCTTCTTCTTCTTCTTCTGCCTCTGCCTCTACCTCTTCCTCCTCCTCCTCCTCCTCTTCTTCTTCTTCTTCTTCTGCCTCTTCCTCTTCCTCCTCCTCTTCTTCTTCTTCTTCTGCCTCTACCTCTTCCTCCTCCTCCTCCTCCTCTTCTTCTTCTTCTTCTTCTTCTTCTTCTTCTTCTTCTGCCTCTGCCTCTACCTCTTCCTCTCTTTCTTCTTCTTCTCCTCTCTCTCTTCTTCCTCTTCCTCCTCCTCTTCTTCTTCTTCTTCTTCCTTCTTCTCTTCTCCTCTTCTTCTTCTCCTCTTCCTCTTTTTTCTTCTTCTTCTCTTCTTCTTCCTCTTCCTCTTCTCTTCTTCTGCCTCTGCCTCTACTACCTCTTCCTCCTCTCCTCCTCCTCCTCTTCCTCTTCTTCTTCTTCTTCTTCTGCCTCTTCCTCTTCCTCCTTCTTCTTCTTCTTCTGCCTCTACCTCTTCCTCCTCCTCCTCTCCTCCTCCTCTTCTCTTCTTCTTCTTCTTCTTCCTCTTCTTCTTCTGCCTCTCTCTTCCTCTCTCCTCTTCTTCTTCTTCTGCCTCTGCCTCTCCTCTTCCTCCTTCTCCTCCTCCTCCTCTTCTTCTTCTTCTTCCTCTGCCTCTTCCTCTTCCGCCTCTACCTCTTCCTCTTCTTCTGCCTCTTCCTCTTCTTTTTCTTCTTCTTCTTCTTCTTCTGCCTCTTCCTCTTCTTCTTCTTCTGCCTCTGCCTCTACCTCTTCCTCCTCCTCCTCCTCCTCCTCCTCCTTCTTCTTCTTCTTCTGCCTCTTCTCTTCCTCTCCTCTCTCCTCTTCTTCTTCTGCCTCTCCTCTCTCCTCCTCCTCCTCTTTCTTCTTCTTCTTCTGCCTCTGCCTCTACCTCTTCCTCCTCCTCCTCTTCTTCTTCTTCTTCTGCCTCTTCCTCTTCCTCTCTCCTCCTCCTCCTCCTCCTCCTCTTCTTCTTCTTCTCTCTCTGCCTCTGCCTCTCTTTGCCTCTACCTCTTCCTCTTCTTCTTCTTCTGCCTCTTCCTCTTCTTTTTCTTCTTCTTCTTCTTCTTCTTCTGCCTCTTCTCTTCTTCTTCTTCTGCCTCTGCCTCTACCTCTTCCTCCTCCTCCTCCTCTTCTTCTTCTTCTTCTTCTGCCTCTTCCTCTTCCTCCTCCTCTTCTTCTTCTTCTTCTGCCTCTACCTCTTCCTCCTCCTCCTCCTCCTCTTCTTCTTCTTCTTCTCTCTGCCTCTTCCTCCTCCTCTCCTCTTTTCTTCTTCTTCTTCCTCTTCTCCTCTCCTCCTCCTCCTCTCTTCTCTTCTTCTTCTTCTTCTTTTTCTTCTTCTCCTCTTCTTCCTCCTCCTCCCTTCCTCCTCTTCTTCTTTTCTTATTCTTCTCCTCTCTTCCTCCTCCTCCTTTCTTCTTCTTCCTGCCTCTTCCTCCTCCTCCTCTTCTTCTTCTTCGTCTTCTTCTTCTTCGCCGTGACTAAGTTGTTTCTTTTTTTTCTTTTTCAAGGTAATTGGCAAGGGAAGGAGACCAATGAAGAACCAAGTATGTCTTCATTGCAGAAAGTGGACTTTCCATTGAAAGAAGAGAAGGAAACAGAAACTGCCATTCAGGAAACATGGAGGAACACAACTTATGCTTCTGAGTTTGAAGACATCTGGGGAATCTCATTCCAAGAACTCTTAGAAAAAGGAAATGGAAGAAATGAATGCCTTTCCCCTTGTTATGGGAGGAGCCTTGATTTTAAAGACAGTCTTCACTTTACGATGGGCCTTCATACAGAAAGGAAGCCAAAATGTGTGTTTTTAGTGTGCGGAAAGAACTTTGGGTGGAGTTCCCAGTTTATGCCGTATCAACAGTCCCTCATGAGGGACGATCCATTTAAAAATTTGGAGTGGGTCAAAAGTTTGAGTCCCAGCAGGCAGTTCCTCCATCCTCACGCTGCGGAGAAGCCATTCCAGTGCTTGGAGTGCGGGAGCAGATTCAGTCGGAAGTCGAACCTCACGGCGCACCAGTTAGTTCACACCGAGGGGAAACCGTTCCAGTGCCTGGAGTGCGGGAAGCACTTCCGGTGGAAGCAGAAGCTCACTCAGCACCAAGTCATTCACACAGGGGAGAAGCCGTTCCATTGCCTGGAGTGCGGCAAAAGCTTCAGCCGGAAATCAACCCTGATTTCGCATCGGTTAATTCACACCGGGGAGAAACCGTTTCAGTGCTTGGAATGCGGAAAGAACTTCAGGTGGAAGCAGAAGTTCACCCAGCATCAGTTAATCCACACAGGGGTGAAACCGTTCCATTGCTCGGAGTGTGGAAAGGGTTTCAGTCGCAAGTCGAACCTCATTTCGCACCAGCTGCTTCACACCGGGGAGAAGCCATTTAAATGCTTGGAGTGCGGGGCAGAATTTAGATGGAAGATGGAGCTCACTCAGCATCAGTTGACTCATGGCGGGGAGAAGCTGTTTCAGTGCTTGCAGTGCGCTAAAAGCTTTTGCCGGAGGTCAAGCCTAGTTTCCCACCAGTTCATCCACACCGGGGAGAAACCGTTCCAGTGCCCGGAGTGTGGGAAGAGCTTCAGGTGGAAGCAAAAGCTCACTCAGCATCAGTTGACTCACACGGGGGAGAAACCATTTCGTTGCACCGAGTGTGGGAAGAATTTCAATCGCAAATCAAACCTCATGTCGCACCAGCTCCTTCACACAGGAGAGAAACCGTTTCGATGCTCGGAGTGCGGGAAGAGCTTCAGGTGGAAGACGGAGCTCGCTCAGCATCAAGCGATCCACACCGGGGAGAAACCGTTTCGGTGCACGGAGTGCGGCAAAAGCTTCAGTCGGAAGTCGAGCCTCATCTCGCACCAGTTGATTCACACCGGGGAGAAGCCGTTTCAATGCCAGGAGTGTGGGAAGAGCTTCAGGTGGAAGCAAAAGCTCACCCAGCATCAGTTGATTCACACCGGAGAGAAGCCGTATCGGTGCATGGAGTGCGGAAGGGGCTTCACTCACAAAATAAGTCTCACTCGTCATCAAGGGACTCATGCGTTTCCATGCTGCCGGGAGTGTGGGAAGAGCGTCCCTCGAAAGACAAGCCTCGCTTCCTATCAAGGAACTCCGACAGCGGAGAATTCTTCACTGTGTGTGGATTGTACAGAGAGTTTGTGTCAGAAACCACATGTTAAATTGGAAGAAAATTCTCCCTTTGACATTAGGCAACTCACATAGCAAACAAAATAAATTGTAAATTGTTTGAGTGTTCATCTAATTTCATTCATTTAGATCACATTTGTCAAACGCCGGGCCTGCGGACCAAATTTGGCCTTTATATGGCTCTCCAGATACTGGACTGCAACTCCTGTGTTCCTCGTCATGTCTAGAGCTGATGGGAGTTGTAATACAGTTACATTTGGAAGTAGGAAGTTTGTACTGTGAGAGTGGGGACTGAGTTTAGGTACAAGGTTTATAGATATGATGCCTGACTACAAAATGTTCTTTAACTGGGTTGTTGTAGGTTTTATTGGGCTATATGGCCATGGTCTAGAGGCATTTTCTCTTGACGTTTCGCCTGCATCTATGACAAGCATCCTCAGAGGCAGTGAGGTCTGTTGGAACTAGGAAAAAGTGTTTATATATCTGTGGAATGACCAGGGTGGGACAAAGGACTCTTGTCTGCTGGAGCTAGGTGTGAATGTTTCAACTGATCACCTTGATTAGCATATAATGGCCTGACAGTGCCTAGAGCAAACTTTTGTTGAGAGGTGATTAGATGTCCTTGTTTGTTTCCTCTCAGAGCCACAAGGGCTGCTAGGTTGCAATTTATTTATTTATCTTTAATTTTTTTTAATTGTATTGTTTCATAGTGTATGTAGAAAACAAAACAAATGAACAAAAGGGAAAAAAAGGAAAAAATATGCAAAAGATTTACAAAAGAGTCAATATTCATTGCTTATTAAACATATGTACAATCAGATTTGGTTGTACAATTATTTTTACCTTAACATTACATAACCCTCTATCCCCCACCTGTGAACCCCACCCCTGACCTCCAAAACCCCTCAAAACAGGATCACATTACTAAACAACAACTACCCAAATATCTTCTTTCACTGAATCCCCTTTATGGCAATCTTCAAGTTTACCCAAGTGCCAGCCTCCATTTGTTTGCAAATTCTTCATTATTTCCTCCTCTGCTACTATTTGTCAGCTTGGCCATTTGGATATAATCTACTAAATTGTCTCTTCAATCTTTGATAGATAACTCTTTTTCCCCTTTCCAAGTTTTGGCTATTATTAGTCTTGCCGCAACAAAGCAATATTGACAAATTTCTTCATCTCCTGCACTGATACGCATTCTAAAGAGTGCTAATAGGCACATTTCTGGGTTTTTCTTAACTCCCTGACAAGAAGCAGGAAAATTGCATTCAAAGCACCCCCAACAGATGGCCATCCAGCCTCTATTTAAAAGCCTCCAAAGAAGGAGCCTCCGCCACACTCCGGGGCAGAGAGAGAGAGTTCCACTGCTGAACAGTTCTCCTTTCAACCAGGAAGTTCTTCATGTTCAAGTGGAATCTCCTTTCCTGTAGTTTGAAGCCATTGTTCCATTGCGTCCTAATTTCCAGGGCAGCAGAAAGGAAGCCTGCTCCCTCCTCCCTGTGACTTCCCCATACATATTAATACATGGCCCTCATCGTCTCTTCTCAGCCTTCTCTTCTGAAGGCTAAACATGCCCAACTCTTTAAGCCGCTTCTCATGGGGCTTGTTCCCCTGACTCTTGATCCTTTGAGTCACCCTCTTCTGGACACATTCCAGCATAGGGTCAACATCTCCCTTCAATTGCATTGCCCAGAATTGGACATTGCACTTTCCAGGTAAAGTGCAGAATAGAGCATGGGTAGCTTGACTTCCCTGGATCGAGATGCTAAGCTCCAAGGCAGATCAGTGAAATATGCTGCCCTGAAGTCTGGTGGAATGTCCCTTTCTGGAGGTTCTTATACAGAGGCTGGATTGTCTTGGGTAGTGTGGATGAGGGATTGCTGAGTCTTGGCTCAGCTGCTGAACTCAACCCTCACTAGGAACAATAACTCCCTCGGTCACATCCAGAAGGAAGGACTACTTAGTCTGCTGGCCAAACACAAAAGGCTTCACTGTTCCTTTTTTGGTGGAATTATGGAAAGAAATGTCTCAACTGAAAGATCTTCCAGGTTGAGGGCCGGCAACAGGAATCACTTAAGTAGGATTTAAGATACTGGAGCGTGTGACTTGATTGCTGGCTGCAGCTTCAGTCTCCATGCCAAGAGCTTGGACACCTTTGGAATCTGGACAGCTCTGGGATGTTGATTCTGGACTTGTGAACTCAGCCTTGTGGCTTGGATTTCTGGTAATTGGCCATGGACTGGACATCCCTGTTCAATTCTCTGAGTTTTGGTACTACTACAGATGAATTGACTAGAGTCCCAGACATGGGCCAACTTCGGCCCTACCTCCAAGTGTCCTGGACTTCAACTCCCATTTTCTGAACTCAAGAACAGAAAACGGAATATTGGAGGACAGAAAAAGAGCTTTAAAGATGGGCTCAAAGCTAACCTTAAAAACTGTGGCATAGACACCGAGAACTGAGAAGCCCTGACCCACAAGCGCTCTAACTGGAGGTCAGCTGTGACCATAAGTGCTGTAGGATTTGAAGAGGTACAAATGGGAGAAAGGGAAAAACGTGCCAAGAGGAAGGCGCATCAAGCCAACCCCGACCAGGACCGCCTTCCACCTGGAAACTGATGCCCTCATTGCGGGAGAACATGCGGGTCAAGAATACGGGTCCGCACTCGCCTACGTACCCACCACCAGGACATCGCACTTGGAGGACAATCTTACTCAGTCAACAAGGAATCGCCTAAGTGACCTATTGATCTACTCAAATTTGCATAGGGCTCCACAGTCACCTATGTACCCACCGCCAGTACATTGCACTTACTTGGACAATGAGGGATCGCCTAAATAAAAGTCAATCTCCACAATTCCTAAACTATGGGTAGGCTGTTAGGAACTGTGAAAGTTGAAATCCAAAACACCTGAAGGGAGGGTCAAATTTGGCGTGGGCCTTCATGCCCAAAGGGGACTTCTCAGAGGGGTTTGCGAGGGGCAGAGCGGTCTCCCTCATCTTCTGTCCCAAGAAGGAAGGGAGGAGAGAGGGATAGGAAAGTTTCCTGGACATGAATGTTGTCTTCTGAGGGGGTTGGCCCTGCAGAGTGTGGGAGGCAGCAGTGGAGGCAGGCTCAAAGCCCCCTTGTCTTGTGGAGGGAGGAAGGGGCTCCAAAGACCCCTCTGAAGCCAGTCAAGAGATCCCTGGAAGAGCCCCATTGCCGGTCTGTTTTTCTTGTAGGGTCAGGAAAAGGAGGCCTCCCAGACCTTGGCTTCATGCAGCAGAATCTCTTGGATGGGAGCTGTGGGGCCTCCAGGAGGGAAATATTGCAATAACCACATTCACCACCACCTGACCCAAAAGATTAAGGACCAGGCTGTGCCGCAGATAGTTGGTAGCCAGCTGCATTAAATCACTACTGCCCAAGAGGCCATGAGTTCGAAGCCAGCCCCGACCATTAATAACCTAGCTTGCTGTTGACCTATGCAGCCCAAAAGACAGTTGCATCTTTCAAGTAGGAAATTTAGGTATCACTTTATGCGGCTAAATTAACTAATTTACGATGCCATAAAACCTTCCAGCAGCGTGCAGAAGAATGAGGAAGTACTCCATCAAAGGATTCGGTGTCACAAGTGGATGGTGAAGCAGCAGCTCCTCCTGTGGCCGGAATCGAGTATACCCTCATGAAGCCGGAAAAGCTGGAATGTTAAATTGCCTCTGTGTCTGTCTATATATGTTGTATGCCTAAATGGCATTGAATGTTTGCCATGTTTATGTGCATTGTAATCCACCCTGAGTCCCCTGCGGGGTGAGAAGGGTGGAATATAAATACTGTAACTAATAAATAAATAAATAAGTTTAAGAATGCAAGGGTTTCAGAGAGATACACAAAATAAGAGGAGGGATTTGCAGGATGGAACAGTTTTGATCTATGAGAAGTTTAGGATCCTTTCCATGAATCTAGGTTGTTCTCTATCCATATAGAGAATCCTGTCATCTATTAGACATTCATGGTCAAAAATTTATCCTGCCCCACAAACCTCATTACGGGGTCATTCATCTTGTTTTTTATCCACTTTGGAGGTGCCTGAGGAGCACAAAACAAAGATGGAAAGGCAAGAATTAGCTGGCCCTTAGTTAGAAGCATTCTGGGAAGAAAGGCCTGCTTGTTTAGACTTGCACTCTCTGGAAAAAGTTAAATGTTCTAGCTAAATGTGTATAAAATCAAAGTATCATAGAGTGGCCAAAGAGGTTCTCTTGCAAAACCAGAGACGAGCTTGAAGCACTGTATAGTTTGAAGGAAGTTAACAGACAACAACAAAATAGAAAAGCCAGCGGACCTGATGGGATCCCTGAAATCTTTAAAAAGGCTGGACGTGAGCTGACACAACAATTCCACCGGCTCACTAAAAAAGTATGGGTGACCAAGAAAATCCCTGCAGACTTCAAGGCTGCTGCCATCATCACCCTTTTCAAAAAAGGGGAAAGAACAGACTGTGTGCTGGTACAGCTGTACCAGGAGCTCCCATTTTATTTGCCTTGTATTAAGTTTTTGCTTGCAGCCCAAGGCTTGGGATTCTGCAGAAGGGTGGCTTCCTGTTAAAGTTTACAGTTATAGGGCAGGGCCCCATCCATCATCATTAAGTTTGGTTCCGCCCCCTGTTCAGGACAATTGAGAAGGGAAGGGAGCCATTTTTAGTCAGTCTCAGCAAGGAAGGTCAATGTCCAGGACGTGTACAGACTTTCTCCTGTACAAAGGCTTCAACCCTTAAGACCTCCCGAGGGAGAACAGTCTTAAGAGCATCTAAGGATTCCCAAAGGTTCCCAGGGAAACAGTCTTACAGCCCTGAGGAATTTTGGAAGGAATAACAGCTTTAAACATCAAGAACTCCAGCTAAGAGACTACAGGCCTACTGGTAGGTCCACTCGGTTTTGAGACGCAGTTCAGCCCGGTAGTGGATCCACATCAGTTAGGTTTAGGTTCACAGTTAGCCTGGGAGAAGTTTGGAAAGGGATTTTCCTTTAGAGTAAAAGTAACAGTTAGAAGCCACCAGTTGCACAAAGCCTGGAAGCATTTGTTTATCCTTTTGAAGACAAAAGAAGTTTCTGTTGATTGTTCACCAATAAAAGACTTCGTTATATTTTACAAATCCTCTAGGGACTGTTTATGGTGAAAATCCTTGCAAATTTCTCTTCGGGCCCCCTGGCTTTCCGCTGGGCTAAAGTTGCATGTCCTGTATTAAAGGCAATTTATTTCAAGCCCAGCGTGTAACAGAACAGACTGCGAGATCTTTTGAGGTATTTCCCATATCACCTCAACTAGAAAAATCTTCACAAGAATCCTTGCAAGCTGCTTTCTACCTATCTCAGAAGACATCCTCCCAGAACAGTGGTTCTCAACCTGTGGGCACCCAGGTGTTTTGGCCTACAACTCCCAGAAATCCCAACCAACTTACCAGCTGTTAGGATTTCTGGGAGTTGAAGGCCAAAACATCTGGGAACCCACAAATTGAGAACTGAATGGCTTACGCTCCTCCAGAGGAACAATGAATATGATCTTCACGGCACAACAGCTCCAAGAAAAACGCAGGGAACAAAATCAACCCCTGTATATGGCATCCATGGACCTTGCAAAGGCATTCGACACAACCAGTCGTGCTCTCTGGACCATCCTCCAAAATATCGAGTGCCCTAACACATTTGTAAACATCCTGTGGCTCCTCCATGACAACAATTTTGGACAGCAATAGCTCCCAAAGTGACCCATTTAAGGTGGAATCAGGTGTTATTGCCCCAACCTTATTCTCCATCTTCATCACTATGATATTGCACGTTGATGGGAACCTTCCCGCTGACATGGAATAATCTGTCGGACCCTAACAACAATATTAATGTAAATAAAATTCATTAATTTGACTACTCCCCACCCCAGCTCGAGTCCTCCGGTGGAGGAAAGTGTTTGGACATGTAAACATCAGTTGGTGAGTGTGTAAACTGAAAGTGCAAAGCACAAAGCTGATTGGTTGGGCAATCTATATAAATAAAAATGTAATGTTCGTTTGTGGGATTAACAGAACTCAAAAACCACTGGACGAATTGACACTAAATTTGGACACAAGACACCTAACAACCCAATGTATGTCCTTCACTAAAAAAATTGATTTTGTAATTTGGGAGTTCTAGTTGCTGGGATTTATAGTTCGCCTACAACCAAAGAGCATTCTGAACTCCACCAATGATGGAATTGAATCAAACTTGGCACACAGAATTCCCACAACCAACAGAAAATTCTGGAAGGGTTTGGTGGGCATTGACCTTGAGTTTGGGAATTGTAGCTCACCTACATTCAGAGAGCACTGCTGACTCAAACAATGATGGATCTGGACCAAACTCTACACAAATATTCAATATGCCCAAATGTAAACATTTGGTGGAGTTTGGGGAAAATAGAATCTTGACATTTGGGAGTTGTAGTTGCTGGGATTTATAGTTCACCTACAATCACAGAGCATTCTGAACCCCACCAACAATAGAATTGGATCAAACCTCCCACACAGAACCCCCATGTGGGCCACAGCAATGCGTGGCAGGGGAGAGCTAGTGCCCAATAGACTAGCCGAGCCTGGGAGTTTTGGTAACAGTTACATATTTAGGCTTCAGCTGTGCAAGAGCTAGCACAGAGAGAAACAGTTTTGAGTTCTTCCATCATGAGGAAGAAGATCTCTCACATGGACACCTAAAGACCATTTGAATCTCTCTCAAAAGACACTGTGTGAGTCAGTGCAACTGTTCACATGATTGTATGTAAGTTGCTATGCATTACAGAGAGTAAACACCTTGTTCTTTACTGATCATCTGCATGGAATATTTTCTTTCTCTGGCAAGTCAGTGTGTGGACTGGAAAAAGCATGAACTATATGTGATTTTGTGTGGGAAGAGGAGGAAGAATGTCCAATACTTTTCCTTAAAATGTAAACGTTTAATGCAGCAATTTGGTTCTGCCTTGTCGTCTTTCTTTCTTCATATACCTTGATTAAGGTATTTTTTACCTGGTAGTTACTTTGATTCTGATATTACCTACCTATTTGTGTATGTGTATATGAATGCTTTTTGCTCTCTAGTGTTTCTTTTTTTT